GGCGGCTGCGGCACATTCATCGGAGGCTGAACCGGAGTGGGCTGGTGATGTTGAGGTGCCGGGCTCTGGTGAGGCGGCGCTCCGTACTGGAACTGTGGGTGCTGATCCCGACGAGACATGTCCTGCTGATAGGGGTGTTGAGGACTGGGATGGAGTGTCAGTAAAGTTTCATTCCGACGGGATCAACATCGCGAATGGAGACGAGACTCCCGAGGACGACGGCCCCTCGCGAGAGAGAGAGAGAGAGAGAGAGAGAGAGAGAGGTCATGTTGCCCAGGCGTGCGTGCATGCATCGACGGTGGTGGAAAGGGTCATGTTATTGTTGTTGTTGCCCGTTACACCCTCTTTTACGCCGCGGAGCAGGCCCAATATGGCCGGGGTTGCTCAAGGGAAGAGGTATTCCAGAGGTACATGTCCATGTACCCCTGGATCGCGGGTAGAGGTGTCGGTACACCGTACGCAGCCTCGCGGGGCGGAGGAGGATAGAAAGGTAAGGGGAGCGAACGAACGAACGGGACGGGGGAAATCAAGAGTGACTTTGGGCACAGGGACGAAAGTAGAGATCGAGGGGTACAAGGTGGAGGAGGTACTTACTGCATGTCGCTAGGCTGATGGGTGGAGTTGGAGTAGATGTACTCCGGCACGGGGCCGACTTGCCACTGCTGCATGATCTAACAAGAGGTCCAAAGGTTAGTACCGTGTACCATGGTCAATTGATTTGCGACCCGAAGAAACAAAAAATAAAAAAGGTGTCGCGCAAGAGTCATGGGCGGGGCCCGCGCTGTGAGGTGAGGCGCGAACGCGACACGGGCGCTTTCCGACGAGAGAAAAAAAGGGTACATGACTGCTGCCATCGTGCGTGGCGACGACGACGACGACACGATAAAACCCAGCGTCCGATAGAAGCCTCATCAAAGACGTGATGAAGATGAGAGAGTGTGAGATGGAACATGATTGAAGTAACAGACAGGAGTGAAGCAGGCGATTGCGCGCAAGACGTTTGCTTATCAGGGAGGATTCACAGACGTGCTTGCGAAGACGCGGTGAGGCAGAGAAAACTTCGACGAGAGGGCGTCGACAACATGACAGAGTCTCGATGAGAAAGAGACGCGCGACAGCATCAGCGCCGATGAGGCGAACTGTGTCTGTATGCGCGCGACGATTCCATCTTTGAGGTACAAGTGGTGAATTGATCCTCAATCGGGACAACGGGTGAAAAGGAACATAGGAAATAGGGTGCAGGTACTTACGGGCAATGTAGTGGTAGTATTAACTCAACAACGATGCATAAACCGACGGGTTGATGGATGGGGAATATTTGGTCTCTGCTCTCTCGGGGGGTGGAAGAGAGACTTGAACCAAGCCTGAGTCGCAAAAGACAAGAAGCGGGTCACGCACACGCCCGGGGTTGGGAAGGGCTTTTTCTGGGCTTTTTGGGGGGGGGGGATGACCGATGGATGGATGGATGGCTGGTGACGGAGGTGACGAAGTGACGAGGTAGAAAGGATGGGAGGAGTGGGAGGGGGAGGGAAGGGGGAGGGATGGTGCGAGGTAGAGGCGAGAATAAAGGGGGACAAAGATACAAGGCGCGCGAGGCCGAGGACGTGTTTGCTTCAAGTACTCTTTTTTCTGGGGGTGGTTACTGCCAGGTTGTGTGGTGCGGCGGTGCCTGCCTTGTGGTTCCAATTGACCTGGCTGGCTGGGCTGGCTGGTTCGGGTCGGGTGGCAGGTGCGCTGCGTAAGGTAAGGTATTGTGTGTGTGTTGAACGTTGGTGTGTGCGGGCGTTGCAATACCGGTACGTGTGGTGCGGCGACCGAAAGCGACGGGGACGCGACACGCAAGAGTGAAAAAAAAAAAAAACAGAGGATAGAAAAAACTGAGCACACCTCAGGCGGCAGTGCAGCAATCAGTGAGCAAAGATAACGGCGGAACCAGGTGGATCTCGTAACGGACGGCAGGGAACGGCCGGACTTGGAGAGGCTGGAAAAACCTGGAAGGCTCAGGTGTGAGAGAGCAGGTGAAAGGTGTAATCGTCAGGTAATTGGATGTCAGGTGAAGGGCTGCTGCGGCATAGAGCGACGCGGCGCGCGGGATTCGTCGACGGGAAGGAATGGATGATTTCCCTTCGGTGTGGGGGAACAAAGTGCGACGGGACTCCGGAAGGCAGGAGCTGAAGAGGTTGGGGAAAAAATGGAAGGTACCGAATGTTGCGGTGCCCTTGCTCTTTCCTGGTATACCTTCAGGTAATAGGTAATCAGGTAAGGTAGTCCAGATGAGGTGAGGTGTGTGGTGTATCGCGAGATAAGGTCTGGCAGGTAGTGACAAGTAGTAGCGGAGCCAGAGAGAGGTAGCGTGATGTATCCGTGGAGGACGCAGAGGTTTAGATAGACAGGTGCAAGTAGACGGGAGTAGACAGGCAGCTGAGGCAGTGCGCAAGATGTGCCGTGCGTTGCTTGTTGGTTCGCGTTCGCGCGTGTGAGTTGGGTGCAGCTGGTGGTCGGTGGCGGATCCTCGGATCAAGGGTCAATCAACAATGGACGGCGATCCTAAAACTGGGGCGCGTGTATCCGTACGGCGGAGACAGAATGGGATGGAGAGCGAGAAGAGTGATGGAGACTTGCTCGAAGCAGTGTCTGGATAGGCGATGGCGAGAGAGAGAAAGCAAAAGATGGAGCAATCCAGATAGGAAGCTTCGGGTATTGCAACGCGATGCTGTGTGTATGCCTGTACAGTGAGGTAAGACGTAGCCAACGTCTGCAGGGAAGGCAAAGAAAAGTGGTGGACGTCGATGAGATAGGCTCAAAGAGTGATGCGTGTGTAATGGTTGGTGCCAGAGGCGGAATGAGATGGAGGTGCGTGGAATTGGCGGCGCGCAAGTGAAGTAAATGTGGTGACGACTGCAGCTATGGCGACAGCGACGGCGTCAATGACAGATAGCTCTGTGAGCGATGATGAGGTGTGAGGTGAGGTGATTGAGGATGACGGGCGACGATGGTGGAGATCTCCGTTCCCTTGCGGTTACGGCAACGTCCAAGTGGTGTTGAGGTGCGACAATGATGGGCGGCGGCAGCGCGTCTGTGGTGTCGGGTGCTGCTCACCTCGGTATTGTCGTTGACCTTGAAGCTCTCAGGGCTTTTTCGGTCTATTCTTTAAGGTGAGGTTGAGGTGAAGCGCGACAGGTGATGTATCCGTCAAAGGTGCGAGGTACCTGACTGGGTGCGTACTCGGGTACCGTGTATTCACAGCTGTAGCTTTCTGTAGCTGTACGGAGACCGATACCTTTGCTGTAGCGGCAAGGACCTGAAGCAAAAGTGTGGAGGTGGAGCTTGAGCTGGTGCGCACCTCGAGCTGATGATGTCGGGTTGGGTATCCGTAGTGTAGTGTAAAGTAGGTTGGTTTAGGAACTTGGGACTTTAGAAATGGGAGTTGGGATGCTATGGCTCGCGATGACCCAAGGATGTACCTCTGATGGAAGTAACTTCCTGGTTCACGGTGATGTTTCTGGTTGCCCTCTTTTTTCTTCTGCTGGGAGAATGTGGGTGGTGGAAGGGGTCAGGAGGGAAAATTGCTAAGGGGGAGGGGGAGGACGAGGGAACATGGAAAAGAAACGAGGGAGGCGGGCGGGGGGAGAGGAGGGGCCAGCCGACGCGATCTGAGTGGGGCCTCGGTCAGGCAGGAAGTGACGATGACGTTCCGATTGTTAACCGGGACGCTGCGCTGCTTCCCCTTTTGCAGCCAGTTTGGGAACATTTGGCAAGAGGGCAGCTGCGACTTACCTATCTTGTTGCCTCAGCCGTTGACTTCCAGTGCTTTGCACGGACCAGCTTCCCCTCGAGTCGCACGGTTCTTTTTTGCTTGTCACTCGACACCTCGTCATGGCTCAATGCTCAGTGGCTGCTCCGTGCCTTGTCCCTGTTCCACTTTTCCTCGCCCGTCGCAGCTGCCAGTTGTTCACCTCAGTCCATCATCTCAAGTCCTTCACTTTATCAATAATGGCAGGTTCGACCTAAGCACCCACGGCAGGTAGGTACTTCCTACTTTCCTTTGCTAGCGGTACGATGCGACTGCGAATCCTGTCCGCGTGCTGCCGCTGCTCGTATTCCATCGCACCTACTGCGTAAGGCAAGGCAGATAAACAGCTATGCCTTAGACACACCGAGTTAGTCGGTCGGATCTGACAGCTCCTTCCTCACCTCGGACCCTTCGGCCATGCGCTCCTGCCGTGTGTCGTGTCGTGTCGCTCGCTACTGCGCTTTGCTTGAATTTGATGACTGAGGTCACAGGTCACAAGCGTTTCTTCTTGCGGGGAAACCCACCGCACCTCAGCTCAGCCACTTTCCTCATTCAACTCCAATCAAGCAAATAGCAATCCATCTGAGCCACTTTTATTCCGTTCCTGTTTGCCTGACTGAACGGGCAACGGGCGAGGCAGCAATTGAAGTGCTCCAATGAATGGTTGACCATTGACGGGGAGCTTGGAGGGGAAATGCGAGAGGACGGAAAGGAAAGGATGGAAAGTTTATCGCATAATCTCTCAGCCTCGTCCCTCCACCGATCTCCCTTTTCAATTGAGCTTCCCATGTCTGTAATGTTGTAAAATGTGCTCCGTGCTGCTTTCAAGGTCCAAGGTATAGGGGAAAAAAAATCAAAAGAAGGTATTCGTCGCAATTGTCCTTCTGACAGCCTTTTTGAACTACATGTACTCCATGTACCGTCTGCATGGTCCAAGTACTTGATCCTCGCTTCATGTACCTCTTGTTAGCGGTACCGCTGGTGGACACCGACCACAACATCGGACTCTGCGCGGTACGTACAGTACCTCGACTGTTGACGAGTACCTTGCCTCTTCCATCGTCGCTGCATGTACCGTTCCGCCCCGTCTCGAGGCGATTAGGCTGTGACGTTGGCATTGTGGAAACCGGACGACATGGTTGCAGCAATGTTGAATACATCTGAATGGGTTTGCGCGACTAATTGCCTGTCGGACGAGCCAAAACCAATCCTCAATACGTCTCGCTCATTGTTATTTTCAGCCCCTGGGATAACATCATGTCGCTGCTCATCAGCCGCGGCTCTGCAATGGTGAGTTCATCCAGACTAGGGGTTACTCGTCATCTCCAACTTGTGATGACGCCTCTCCCTGTGCGTTGGACCGCTCACAGACGTGGTCGTGGTCCAACAGTGCGCGACGCTAGACCTGGGAGCGTGCCCATTGTGGGCATTGCATCTTCTTGCCGCTGTCCCAGCGTTCATGTCAGAATGAAAGAGTCAGATTGCGCTCGAGGCTCTGTTTGGAAAGACACCTGGGTGTTCAACTGAGTTTTGATGCTTTGCTCTAAGGATAATCTGGCTGGGTTCGGGAATCCTTTGCACTACAACAGGCGGTCGAGAAACCATATTGGTCAATTGAGGGGGATTGGATGCAACGGACGACTCCGCGGAAATGCCTTGCCCAACACCCCGAGGTTTCCGTGCGGTACTGGTCCTCCGATGATGCCGAGGTGCGGAGCCCGCGGCCTGGCCAGCTTTCGTAATCATCCGGGACGGGGAACGGGAGCCAGCAACTTCACGGCAGCGGACCGAAGGCCCGTCTTTTCCCAGGTCACATCGGGAGAGGGTTGGTGCCGGGATACCGGGATCCTGGAGACCGAGCTGCCTCAGAAGTGCACGGTTGCAATCGGTTCCGGGCGCTTGGGGTTCCACTAGGCCGTGGCCAGATCGGGACGGGGAGACCAGGGTGCCCGAGATGCCGCGGTCCATCGGCATCACCCCTCTCCACTTGCTGCTCCACGAGAGTCGTATCGTGAATGAATCTGTGTGCTCGTCACGACAGCGAAAGAGAGAGAGACGTAGATAGAGTGATGAGGCTGACCGCCGGGCACATTCTAACAATTGGCCGCGTATTCCGCCCACCCACGTAAGCGGTACCCTACGCAGCTTGACCGCCAAAACAAAAACGACGCTGCTAGTCCCCCAAGACAAGAATTGTTTCAAACACCGAAAAAGAGGCGACGAAACAAGGTGGCTCGCCCGACCCTGGCAACGACCCCAGATCGCACCAGGCGTGAGGATGAGCCCCATGACCACCAAAAAGATGAGCCCCAGGTTCATGCCAAGCTCATGTTGGATGCTGTCGTCTAGCTTCATGTTGTCGACAGGTAACCTAAAACGGCCTCACAAGCCCTGACCCGGCCACGTCTACTGCCATCCGGTCTCTCGCTTTCATGCGCGTAGGGCAATCAGACTCCGTGACGCCATCCTTTCCTTGCCAGAACGTGCATGTTCGTTCCGAACATGGACAGACTTTATGCCTCCTTGGCAGGTCGCGATGAGAGACCCCAGCTGTGAAACGATGTTGGTCGCAGGGTTCCGGCACCAATTGTTTGAGACTCGCGGCTCTTGGGCAACAGATGACTGAAGACACGTCCACCACAACGTCTTCGCGCATAGTGGCCCTGGGCTCGGCCAAGCCGTGAATCGGAACGCTGGCCAGTGCCCGTCGCGAGCAAGTTTGTCGAGTCTGTTGATGTTTTCTCCCAAAGTGCCGCTCTGAAGACATTGGACGAAGAGGATTCATGCAAGTTTGCTGAGACGGCCGACGACCAGGCGATCCAACGACGATCCGTGGCGACATGAACAATTGGGAAGGCCGCTGGATATCTCCGTTGCAATCCCTTTTGCTTGAGAAGCTCAGCCCCCTATGTATTTCAGGGCCCTAGGTTGAAGCAAAGCGGAGAGAAAGTCGCATGGGACGCCCTGATGCAAAGTAGAAGCACTGACCCACAAGGCTGGGCCGGCCAACCTCCACGTAAGTGTATTCACTCGGCCGAGTAATGCGAGACACGCGGAACAAGCTGGGTACACCGTACGGGCGACGTTCCATTTCCAGGCATTTTTCTGCACCATGTCGGGTAATTTCGTCGAGCCAATGCGGAATCTGTGTCACTCTCCAGATAGTGATTAGTATGCCCCCCGTACCTATTTGTCCAGCAGTTGTAGTACACCTGACCCATCAGGTAGTAGGTATTGATCTTGAACGGTGTGTGCAGCGGACAGTGTCAAAGCCGGGACCTGTAATCTCGCTCTTCTTAGCCTCCGTCCTCCGTGGATGCACTTGTACTGTTGCAGGACCGTTGAGTGTGGGGCCGCCCCAATCCATCGGTCGAGAGATCAGACGAAAAGAGTATCGCCAAGCTTCTGTCAGGGAACCGGGCGTCACTGTTCATCTAGTCGAGTCCGGTACGGTTCCAGCACCAGGTAAGGTGGGCGGATCCTGACGCGAATCCGAACCACGGGTTCGATTAATGCGGCCGTTTGTGTCTCTATGACATCTCAACTCCACCAACCACACTCGCGCCCGTCGACCATTATCCTCGGTTGATGGGCTTCCCGAAGATCATTACCGCCATCACCAGATTGGAGATGAGATGGCAGAGCGGCAGAAAGGGGACGTGACGTTTGGCGATTCCTCCTGGGAGAATCGGAGACGGAGACCTACGGATACTTGGTCTGCATTTCCCACCGGATAGGTATGAATGCGGGCGCTTCTGGGCTCGCGGGATGCGGGCGATCCCTTCAATACCCCAGTTATTCCGATATTGAGTCTGCCTGCTCTCTTCCCACATTACTGGCGAAAAGTTTACTGGCCGCTGATGGTCCGGATGATGAGCATCCGCCCCGTGATATGTTGCCCCCTCGTCTTGGTCGTATGGAGGGGTAAGGCCCTTTGTTTCTGAACCTCCTTGGCTGGATGGAGGCTCTCACATGCTGGGGGGAGATTTTGGGCGATCAGGGACCTCGATTGGTAGGGCCGCCAGGTTACACGTTGGAGCCTGGATGGCGGAACCTAATTGGTGCCGGGGTTGACGCTCGAGAGGATAATCAATCATGGTTTACCTCCGCTCAGCATTGTGGTTTTGCTAGAGCTTGAGTCTTGCGGGACGGGGGCCAAACGGGCGGCCGGAGGATGTTCATTGTGCGCAACGCGCAAAGAGAAGGAAAAGTCCCGGAGCGGACGGCCGCAAGTCATGGTTTTGCCACGGAGAATTGGGGGCCACGAGCAGCCCGCGGCGGTGACGGGCCGTGTTTCGATCTCCATGGCGCCGATGGTGGCTCGGCTTTCTCATTTTGAGTGAAGCCACCCAGGGAACGGCCTGTTTCTATTAGTGCTGCGGCGGCGAGAATGTTTCTGCTTCTGTAGGATGTAAATTGCGATCTGTGAATCGTGATGGATGGCAGAGGACGGTCTATGACTCGGTGGACCCGTCCGTCAGGTTAGGCAGCGTGCCAGTAGTTTGGTTTGACAGGCTGGAAGGGCGAAAAGATCAGACGAATCCTATCCCTGATGAGGTAGACGTTGGAGGCCCGAGGCCGAGGTTTGGCTCAGACATGTTGAACTCTGTGTGGTGTGGCCCAGCCCGCCCAGACTCTCGGCCGTGACTTTCGGCGGGCGGCAGCAGGAGAATGAGTGAGGGAGGCTTAATTGACGACGATTAAAGGGCTGCGGACCTGAAAGAGAGCGTGTGATGGACGGAGTTCACGCCAGACGGTATCCGTAGTGTATCGGTATCCGTACTCTGTATTCGTAAGGTAGAGACTAATACACCGTAGAGAGCGCCGGTAGTAGAGAGCGTTTGGAGGGGAGTGCCTGGAAGCGGAAACGAGATGGTGGCATGGTGGCATGGTGCAAGCCAGATTCAGTTTCAGCAGAGATCTGTTAAGAAACAAATAAGGTTTCCTGCATTAGGGCCCCTCTGTTGTTTCTTGCAATCCATGTTCGTCCCGTCGGTCAGAGGATGGGAAGGGGAGGGTGTGGATGGTCGGCTGTCTGTTCGCAGCGTGCGTCTGTCTGAGTTTTTGGGAGACGTCGTCGGGAAGAGAGGTGAGTGGTGGAAAATGGAGGGGGATTTCGGGAGGGCACAGAGGGGTGACGAAGTCCCTCCCGGGTGTGGGCAGAAAGAAGGACGAAAAAAGAGGTCTGAGGTGAAGCTGACAGCCACACTTTTGATTGGCTGTGGTCAGTTTGCGGGCGGCGTGTGTAGTCTGTGAGTGGCTCAAGCCCTGAGTAATGGGGCCTTAGGTACGGATAGGAACGTACAGGACTCAATGTGGGGGCCACGCGTTTTCGGTACGTACCGTAGGCCGTCAGGGGGAAAGGGCGACCAAGAGGGAAAGGGCTGAGACGTGGGTGAAATTGCGCCTGCTTGCTAACGAGTTTCAAGGGACTTGGGCCCAGGACATGGAAATTCACCAAGAGGCAACAACGGCCTGGGATTCCCAAATGATCACGGCTAGACGAGCAAAAACGAGCAGAGTCCCCCTCCTCTGGAAACTAGACCCCCCCCCTTCTACATTCAAACCCCCCTGGCCCTCTGGAGAGATTTTTCTGTACATACGAAGAAAACCTGCCCTCTCCCTTTAATTGTGCTTTCGTTACGAAAACAGGTGAAGCGCTTTTATTGCTCTCTCCACATCTTGGCAGGAAAGTGGTGCGAGTTTCAATGTTTTGGTGCGTCTCGGTACCCACGGAAGGCGGGGGAGGATACTTTCGAGGAGTCAGGATCGGAGAAACCCTTTTTTTCGACAAACCTGCCAGTGCCTGCCCTACAGGTGAATGGCGGTAGAACAAATTCATTTATTTTGTCAACTTGTCACTTGTGACTGCCGGAGAGAAAGTGACTGACTGAGTGGTCCGTGAACCAACTGTGAGAGAAAAGTGTGTGTGTGTGTGTGTGTGTGTGTGAGAGAGAGAGAGAGAGGCCACGTTGGGATGCCGATGATAGAGTGCGTGTCTGAAAAGGTTTATTATCCAATGTCAAGTCTTATGAATAGCGTCCGTCCGTGTTTATCCGTAGGTTTCCCTCATATAAGGTACGGAGACTTTTAATGACGCCCGAATGAGGGGTGTGCTAAGTTTGGCTGCGGCTGCGGATGGATGTGGGCAATTCAAGTTGCAATGCGGCGAATGCATACCAGCCTGGGATGGCATCGTAGTGTAGGGCAGTCAATTTAGACAAACATGCCGCTGTGCCGGGTGATCCAATGACTGCCATAGCAATGCCACATATGGAGAATAGATGGACAGGCACTCTACGCAGCAATTAGTATCTACCTAGTTTTTGATCGGTGATGAGCGAGCACTTTGCACCAAGTACGCAGTGCACCGTGAACCACCACGCCCTGCTGAAAATTGTCAGTCTCAGAGCGCAAGTGCCGAGGCGGCGTCAGAGAGGGACGAACAAGAAACAGCCTCATGTTTCGATACAGATGCCAACGCCTATGCTTCTACTTCGTACCGCACAACCCAAGGACACCAGACACCAGACGCCTGGACTGGACACGCCATCACATCACATCGCTTCGCTTCGACAAGGTCGCGCGGGGTCCGAAGTAGGGATGCCAGAACTGTCGATCAGATGGGACCATGGGAAGAGTCTACGAATACAGTCGTCAGTCGTGTCATGGTTTATCAGGGCAACGAAGCCAAGGACCTGTCTCTTCCTTCAAAGTTTCTTAGCTGGTAGTGAATATCCGTAAGGATTCTCGGTGTCCCAGACAGGATGGCGCTACTGTTGAAGGGGAGAGCCCTGACATCAAACCACACAGCCGGGTTGGCATCTGGGCCTGTCGATATGGTAGGGGCGGCTCTGGCGCAATTGTTCCCATTTAGGAGGCTCTTACACGGCAAGCCGCAACGGGGCCTAGTAGAAGACGACGTGGGACGAAGTCAAGGAGCCCCGAGCCTCGAGAACTGACTGACTGTGGTAGTGTATCCATAGACACAACACAATAGATCACTCACTGTGAACAAAAGGACGGTTACAATGGACAGGGGTTTTCGGCCCCGCCGCACCGGTGGTTCGCAATGAGGTGGAAACTGCCCTGTGAAGCTCTCTTGCCTCGGGAACCGATACGTATCTACGTACCAATTGCGGTTGCGAGGCTGACCGGGGTAATGGCGGTTTCTGTTCCTGACTTGTCCCAAACCCAATGCGGACTAGTAGCCACTTAGCGTGCCTTGCCTTTCTGTGTGCGCAACTCGCAAGCGCAAGGAAGGCTCAGGGGCTGCCGCGAAAACGGGCCAATGGCAGTCGCAGGCGCGCCTCTGTAACACGTACCGTCCATCGCTTGACCCCGCCGTCAAACGCCAGACAGACATCCTCACACAACCTTCAGACACAGGGTCACGATCCCGTCAGGACGACGACTGCCCGCAACAATCTGGACAACACCAGCGGCAGCATCAACAACCTGCCGCCCTTACGACCAGTTCCCGCTCCTCACCAAAAACGGCACTTGAGGACTGGCCATGCGACGACCATGCTGCAATGCAGCCTGCGCGTCCCTCTCCTCATCCTACTGCACATCGCAACCTACGCAATGGAAATACGCAGTAACGTCTTGTACCGCACACCGCACCGTCCGCACCGTCCGCACCGCACGTACAATACTTCGTACACGCGCGCTATACCATACGAGACCGAGACGAGGAAAGCAACCTGCTCAATACCCCGTTTCCCTCTCAATTGGGCATATGCTGCGAATGTATGCCTCGCGTACCCGCAGAGCCCCTGCCTCTCTCTCTGCCTTGTCCAGCCTATCTGTACGCAGTACGGACTCACGGGGTACTCCTCAACAACTATTCCCACGAATACCTCGCTATCGTTGTTCCAAGAATCCCCTCTGCAAGAGTGCGAGACCGCAAACCTACGCAGAGCCCCAAAACGCTGCAGCCATTCCCCTTCCTTTGCGTTGCTCCCCCTCCCTTATCCTCGCCAATGCCTCCGCGAGATTGACAGCGAGCAGACGTATGCTTATCGCGACTTGAGACTAGATGTCGGCCGCAAATAGTAACACCCTCTTCCTTGTTGCAAGCCACCCGACCCAGCGTGACGGTGTCAACTCTGTCGAGGTCTCGGGCTCGGGAGGGATCAATGGTTTGTTTTTGACTCAAGTTACGTAACTTTCCAAAACAGCCTTCGGCGATGCCATGCCACGCCATCCCAAGCCCCATACTATGCGGCGCTCTGCCACGCGCGCAACACGAGTATCCATACCTTTCTTACCTTACCTTAGTAGAGAGAGAGAGGACCGAATTCTCTAAAGTCCCTCCTCATCGGTCATGAACAAGATCCACCGACCATGTGCCGTGGCCGAAACCAAAACCAGCTGGCGGGTCATCCAGATGCTTGCAACAAACTAGCCAAGTTGAGGCTCTGAACTGAATCTGCATGGAATTGGAGCCCAGGCCTCGGGGCAGGCACACTCTCCCCTTGTTGACGAAGAAGGGGAAGAAACAAATCGGAGGCACGACACCGCTCTTTTCGGTAACGGGGACGCTACGCTGCACGGCTTTGGTGGCTTTCCTTTACCATGTTCCAGGTTCACAAATGTCAAGAGCCTCTTGTTCCAACTTCCTAATCTCTCTTGTTCTCGTTTGCTCTTCGAGTCTTCAATGAGAGCTCCATCTCTGGGGGCCCTAGGCTTGGTCTATGCTCAACCTGCATCCGAGCCTCCGAGGCTACAGCTCGTTGCGGGCAATCTTCCAATTTTACTTTGGCTTGTCTATTGGCGGGCGCCACTCGACTCTGGCTGCTCTCTTCTCGATCCATCATGGCGGCCGGTTGAGACGCACGTTCGTCTCTCACCGGATCCATAATCTCGCACCCATGCCTGTTCCTCGTCCGTCTCCTCTTTCTGGCCCTGCCCTCGAACAAGTTACGTACAGGGGTGTGGTCAAACAGGGTGTGGCTTGCACAAGTGTTGCCGGGCCTGGTCTTGGTTTCTCTCTCACTCTCTCTTCTGGGTCTCACACACACTCTTTTTTTCTTACTTTTTCCCTTCAGAAAATGGGGATGGCAGCAGACCAGGCGGATCAGACCAAACGTTATGCTCTGCTAATTCTGTCACATCCACTCCATCTTCTCCAGGGTCTGGCTGGCTTCACTGCTGAATATCTGCAACAGGGCTAGACTTGACGGTGTGCTACCCCCCCCCCCTTGTCCTGCATGTACCAGCACCCGAACATGATGAGGCAATGTTTGCTATGCCTGCCTACCCGCTCTTCTTCTTTGGGCGCGTGTGTGAGTGGTGCCTTGTCTAAGTACGGGGACAGATACGGTCTAATGCTGGTAGAGCTGGTCCCGTCTTGTCTCGTCCTGCCAGTTGTCAGACAGAAACTGAGAAGAGACTGGGACCCAGGGCCAACTTTGGCTGTGGCTGCAATATTACTTTATCCTCCCCCTCTCCCCCCATCTCGAACTTTTTCATCTTTCTGTTACCTTCTCTACCTAACTTGGGTTTATCATCAACATCCCTTTTCTTCGTCTTCTTGAAGCGCAGTTGCGTGTCCTTCTTTTCTTCTCCCGCAGCTAGGGTTTTTACTTTCCTTCATTGTCCAACTGGCTTGGCTGCACACACTCATTTGACTACGCTTCTTGAACACCACCTTTTTTTGTCAATATATCTTGACCTATCCGGTTTATTCAAACAAACGAACTTCACTTCACTTCTTTGGGACCTTCCCTCACTCGCCTATCCGTTTCCTTTCTCCTTGACGGATCTGCAGAAAGCCGACTTCGTTGTTGCGAGCTTCCGGCTGGGACACCACCTTTTTTCAACAACAATCAACTTTTTAACCTTCGATTCGTTGGCAGCAAGTTTCTGCTTCTTCTTATCAAACCCAGCTTCCAGGACACCGCGAACAACGTAACGCGTGAAGATTCTCCACCGAGAGACCCCAAGAGTTTACCTCTACTTCTGAGAGGTACAACGACGCAACATCGACTGTTCCGAAACGATTTAACGAGCAAATATGTCTCCCACGATGCAATTGGGGCCTCACACGGCCACCTACACTCCCACTTCCGACGCCATGGATCGTCATGAATATGGAATCACCAAGAACCGCAAGGCGGCTTCAACCGGAGGAGGCAGAGCATGGAGCGAGGATGAGGTATGTTTCACTCACAGTCTTGGGGACTGCTGCCATTCAGAGTCACATGTGTGAGACCATTGTCTAACTGTACCACACACAGGAAGTCTATCTGCTTCAGACTCGTCTTCAGAAGATGCCTTACAAGCACATCGCCGCTCACTTGAAGAAGACTGAGCTGGCATGCCGCCTTCACTACCATCAGCTTAGCCATGGCAGCAACCGACGCAAGCAGCGTGCTACCTCGGTCTCTTCTGGCTCTTCCACCACCCACTCACCTGTCATGCAGCCGACGATGCCTTCTTCCCTCCGAGAGTCGACTCCTCGTTCGGTCTCTCCCCCAGGCAGCTCAACCAGCTACGCCCCTCACTCGCCCGCCCCTATACAACTTCCCAGCATCATGGGCCACGAAGCTTCTCCCAGACTTCCCGCCATTCTCCCCAAGCCGGTCTGCATGACACTGCCACCTCCTACCGCCTCCCCCACCCGCGGATACCCCACACCTCTCCCTGAGCCTCGCAGCGCGGCTCTCCCCTCCGCCACCTTCCAGTCCATGTCCGGCAGCCTCCCCATGACGCCACCGCTGCGTCTGGAGTGCGCTCTTCCTTCTACTCAGTCCATTGTCAGCCATCAACACGTTGACATGAACCGCCTCCAATCCGTTTACACTGCACACCGCGCCTCGTTCTGGGCCGCTGTTGCCAACGACTACGGCCCGGGTGCAAGCCCCGTTATGTTGGAGCAGGCATGGCAGAACGGTGCATGCTGCAACCAGCAACAGGCCAGCACACCCATCACACCCACCTCCAGCCCCGACAACCTGGATCGCGATAGCTACGACAGACCTCAAGACAAGACTCGCATCTCTGCTATTCTTGGCATTGACGCCAACCCGCGTTCTCCCCGTGAGCGCGAGTTGGTGAGACGCATGGAGGAATCACGAGTCGGCGCCTAAGCAACTCGGCACCGACTGAGCCAACACTTTGATTCTACCAGTGTATTACTTTACCACTTTGAGTGTCTGATTCTTGCTTGAGGTTCTGCGTCTTCCTGAAGTGGAACAAGAAGACTACAGCATCAAGCCGCGGGTTTGTTATTCGCTTCTGTTGGCTTCTCCTTTTATGAGAAATTCGTTTTCTTTGTCTTTGGCCAAACCTCTTTTTTTTTTTTTTTTTTTTTTTTTTTTCCATCTTCATCGTACACGAACACATACGACCGGATGGCTGCGAACTGTTGGGGCGCTATTCGGCGCAGGAAGGGGGGATTGCTCAGGAGGGGAAAGGAGCCGCCCTTTCTTCCATTTCTTCATTTCATCTTCTATCGACTTTTTGGGGGACAAAACGAGGCCATCACCGAGGCATGCGAAGGGGATTGAACGCTACATTCCTGAAACGGGATGGTTGGGCACGACTGGCAGTGCGGAGGAGGACATTTACAACATTTCTTTCATCTTCTCGGGAAGGCATCTTTTCCACACTTTGCAGAAATGAAGTGATGACCACGAACCACAAAAACCTCGCAATCGTGGGGTTATTCCGAAACAACTTGTTACGGCAGTTTTTTGTACATTAGAGCGGCCCCTGGGGTCCTGCGGGATTCATGCAGACGACGATCGCGTTGGCTTTTGCTTTTTTCCCTTCTTCAAAACGGCGAATCGAGAAATCAGAGTTTTGAGAAATCTTGTTTCTCCCGCAGTGACTTGCTATCTACCTACCTACGTGTTATCAACGCTTGACTCTCGTGTGCCATGACAGCTGCAGCTGAGAGAGAAGGAATACGAAGAGAGAAGGAAGCGATGCGTATGTCCAAGCGTGTGTGTGTTTGTTTGGACATTGGTGAATCGCTTCGATACTGATACGATCTCTCAATCCCTGTCCAGATTAGGGTAACAAGTCGTCGAGTGAAGCTTGTTGACGTTTGTCTGACATGTGCTTTGACGATCCAAGTTGCAGTTTCTAGTTCCCGATTCCAGACAAGCGCTTCGAAGGACACGCCCATACATACATGATCAAACCGTCAATAGCGTCATGTAGATGCGATGCAAGATGCAGAAGAGGGGTTCACCATCGGCAATTGTTCCCTCGCGGCAAAGTGCAGTGTCCCGTCCCCGTAGGTTGTAGACCGCAGACACTCACGGCACCCTGTCTTTCTAGGACGAAAGTTACGTACTTTGTTCTCTTCGTGTGAAGTTGGAAATAGCAACGGGGCCGTGAATTGTGCGGAAGGCAAGGCCAGCCATGTGTACGTACCCGCGACTATCTTTTTGAAGTTGAGGTTGAGATTGAGGTACGTACTGGCGCGGTCAGAGTTCCCCCCTTCACACCCTCCCAAGTCCCAACCTTCATCCTCCTCCTCCTCCTCCTCATCCTCCTCCTCCTCCTCCTTTCCTCCTCCTTCTCCTCCTCTCCTCCTCCTCCTTTCCTCCTCCTCCTCCTCCTTTCCTCTGGTACCTTCAATCACCTACCTTACCTTATCATCACTCAGCCCAAACGTCCAAAGATCCCAAGGTTTCGTCGGTCCGCCTTGATCAGCAAAGCTCTGCTTTTTTGACACCCTCCGAAACCTTCTTTCCTCCCAACTCTTGAAGCATAAATGGTTTCGGCCTTGTTGGAACAGACGCCAGCCAAGTATGGTCCCTGGACTTGTTTCTCACACCCCCAAGCAGGGAGCAAGGCAGAGCATGGCATGGCTTGGCTCGAGAGAGGAGGGACGAAGAAGGATGGTGAAAGGAGGGGGGTGAAGGTCCAAGGAGGAAGCTTCGTAATGAGCTGCGCCATCCGTCTGGATTTCGAAACGAGTAGAGTTGGGCGGATAGGTCGGACGAAAGAGAGAGAAGGCCGGCACCCCTCGAGTCTCGACGAACGCCCTTCCATTGCTGTTCCCTCTGCCTTCCAACACTAAGGCACATTGAAACGAGCGAGAGGAAAAGCATGACTTCATCGCCAGCGTCCCCCCTCCCCCTCGCCGATCCAAACGCAGTGTCAAACAGAGTGCCATCCCATCCCACTGGTGAGAGACGCCAGGGAGATGCCCCTCTCTCGCCGTTCAGTGTCCGAACTTTCGCAACACGACAGGGCCTTGGCACGATTGCTGTTTCTCTAATCGAAACCCTACTAGAGCGGACGACCACGTCCTTCTCGGTTGACTTCAAGATTACGCAGTTGGTGGTGGTGTAGTGGCTGGTATTGCGTGCATATGAGCACACACACACACACACACACACACACACACTTACGACTTACATGCATACTACACACAGCAAGTGTAGCAACGGGCGGGGGAAAGAGATTCACGACGTTGCAGCGCTCTCCACGCCCAGACAGACTGTCGACCGCTCAAGCCTGGGATGCGGGGAGGCTTAACGGGAGGACCCCCATCTAGCGGAGACTCCGTCTGCCACGATCATCTCCAGATTTTCTCGTGCCAAAATGCCCCGAGGACCTCGATCTCCGAACCGCGAGCCGGTTGGGCCCCGCCTCCGGGAGTCGGGACTAGCCTGGGTCCCGGCAGATCTCCAGCCTTGTAGGCTGTGCGAGATCTTAAACCGGGACGAGGTCATTGTTGCACCAACAGCTCATGTGTGCGGCATGTCGCACGAGTGAGCAGCGTGGCTCAACAGTTCTCGGAACTATTCTGCATGCTGTGGACAAATCTAATTCTGAAGATGCGACCACACTGCGGAGCGGCTTGAACTCATCTCGCCGGGGCCGGGGCCGGGGCCAGCACCGGCATTGAGACTCGACCCATTGAATCCCGTACGACAAATGCCTCTACTATGATTGGAACGTACTTTAGGTGGGGGACAGCACAGCACGATTTCCCACAACCCGAGTGTGAACCAGCACCTAGCTACGACACAAGTCCAGGAACCAGTCAAGACGAATGCATTGTGCATCTCGTCAACACTAACGCGAGCTAAGGACACAGGCACACAGGATAGCGAGGAGGGATAGCGTGGGCAGATCCGCGAGCAGCGAGAAGCCCTTGCGTGTCCCACGGACTGGCGTCATCCAATTGCCCAACCGGCCGGCCTTTCGCTTGCCGTACTTTGACGTTTTGTACGCACATTCTCTACTGCGGCATCGCCAGTTGTGAGGCGTGGGAGACATGCTTTTAGTCGGAGAGAATGCCGTTAGTGACGATGCTTTCTTGATGAAGCTGGTCTCTTGATCAGTCCATGTCTCTCCGTATTCCCCTTTTCACTTCTCAGTTGGCCCCTGAAAAGCTGGCCCGTTGCCGTACAACTCCATCGCAGTTCATTTTCCGTTATACCCGTCATTCGTCAATGGGTCATTCTCCATCTCATTTACCCTTCTTCGACACGTCCCATCCCGTCTTATTCACCCGCAAAGTCAATTGAGTATTGCTCCACTCCCAACCGCGGACTATGCCCCGATTCCCCTCCGGCGCCGCCGGGATCACCCGACCGAAAGCTGCGAGCCGCTTCGTCTCCGTCGGCAGCCCTCCCAATAGGATCGCTCGCATTAAGCAGCAATGGATTCATTCCAATGGCGTCCCGAGCGGATCCGTCCCCGAGGTTTCTGGTGGAGCGCCTGACGATGTCCCTGCCGGTAGCCTATTGAGGAACAGGAAGAAAGCAACGAGCTCTGTTGACTTTCCCCGCATTGTGAACCTTGGCTGCCGTTGTCGCTGCCGGGAGCTGTGCTCTCGCTCTTGAGCTACATGGTAGTGGTATGTACACAGAACGGATGCGTGTGGTGGGTGAAACAAAGTTCAAAAAGAAATTGCCGCCCCCAGTAGCCCTTTTCCCTTCCCCGCGTCTACTGCTGCTCATTGATTATTTTTCTCCCTTCCATGGTCTTTTGTTGACAGTCTTCCCCTCCCTTCTTGCGCCGGCATCATTTCAGCATTTTGGAAAAGCTTGGCCCTCCCGACTCTGTAGCCCAAACGAGTCAACGCGAACTGACGCAATTGTCTTCTTCCACTAAATCGAATAGCCGTATACGCCCCCTAGAAGTCTTCACGATGAGCGCAGACCAAGCAGGCCACGGTCCAGGTGATGCCGAAGAGACCAGCTACAAGGACAGCCACGATTACATCCAGTTCAAGGAGCACCCCATTGAAGGACAACTCAACCGGTGGTCGCACACAATCACAAGGGAACATGACTTTCCCGGTGCACAGGTACGCAAAGCCTTCGTTGAATCGTCTCTTGTGTTACAGCAAAGTTGGGGAATGCGGGGTTGAGGCCGATGCGGGGTGTTACCGCGGGGTTGTCAAAAGTTCACGGGAAATAGAAGCTCACGATGTTGTAGGCCATGCTGTACGGCGCTGGCGTGCCGAACAAGGACATGATGAAGAGGGCGCCGCATGTTGGTATTGCAACAGTGTGGTGGGAGGGCAATCCTTGCAAGTATGTCTTCCCTTCTGAAGTGGTTGGTTGTCAAGAGGTGGCTTCAACTAACACGGCACAGCACGCATCGTAAGAAGATCCCTATCTGGGAGAAAGGGCCCCAGAGATGATACAATAAGGCTGACGCGGGAACAGTGCTCGACTTCGGCAAGATTGTCAAGAAGGCTGTTGAGAAGCAGGGCATGCTCGGCTGGCAGTTCAACACCGTGGGCGTGTCAGACGCCATCACCATGGGAGGTGAAGGTAAGTTATCCCACCCTTCATTGCAATTCTCATACGGCAAACACTGACTTACACTACCAGGCATGCGCTTCTCCCTCCAGACCCGCGAAATCATTGCCGATAGTATCGAATCCGTAACCTGCGCACAGCACCACGACGCAAACATCTCCATCCCGGGTTGCGACAAGAACATGCCGGGAACCATCATGGCCGCCGCGCGTCACAACCGCCCCTTTATCATGATCTACGGCGGTACCATTATGAAGGGCCACTCCGACCTCCTCGAGAAGCCCATCAACATCAGCACCTGCTACGAGGCTAGCGGTGCCTTCACATACGATCGCCTTCACGCAAAGACGAACCCCGGCACAGAAGGCCGCACGCCCTCTGACGTCCTCGACGACATTGAGCAGCACGCCTGCCCTGGTGCCGGTGCCTGCGGAGGCATGTATACGGCAAACACCATGGCGACTGCGATCGAGGCAATGGGTCTGTCGCTCCCCGGATCTTCATCATACCCCGCCCTATCCCCGGAAAAGGCCCGCGAATGCGAGCGCGCCGCCGCGGCTATCAAGATCACCATGGAGAAGGACCTCCGCCCTCGCAAGCTCATGACCCGAGCCGCCTTTGAGAACGCCCTGGTCCTGACTATGATCCTCGGCGGTTCCACCAACGGTGTCCTGCACTTCCTCGCCATGGCCAACACGGCCGATGTACCCCTGACCATCGACGATATTGACCGCACCAGCAACCGCATACCCTTCCTGGCCGATCTCGCCCCGTCAGGAAAGTACTACATGGAAGATCTCTACAAAGTAGGCGGCACGCCCTCAGTCTTGAAGATGCTCGTCGCAGCCAATCTCATCGACGGCTCCATCATGACAGTAACGGGCCGCACACTCGCCGAAAACGTGGCAGACTGGCCCTCACTCGATCCGAACCAGAAGATCATCCGCCCGCTCTCGAACCCGATCAAAGCAACGGGCCACATCCGTATTCTCCGCGGAAACCTCGCTCCCGAAGGCGCCGTCGCCAAAATCACCGGCAAGGAAGGCCTCACCTTCACGGGCAAGGCCCGTGTCTTTGACAAGGAGCACGAGCTCAACGTCGCGCTGTCGGCGGGCTCCATCCGCCGCGAGGACGGTAACCTCGTTCTTATTGTCCGGTACGAAGGTCCCAAGGGCGGGCCGGGCATGCCGGAGCAGCTCCGTGCCAGCGCGGCTATCATGGGCGCCGGGCTGGACAATGTGGCGCTCGTGACGGACGGCAGGTACAGCGGTGCGTCCCACGGCTTCATCATCGGCCACGTCTGTCCCGAGGCGGCGGTCGGTGGACCGCTTGCGCTGGTGAAGAACGGAGACACGGTTACCATCGACGGCGAGACGAATCGGATTGACACTGTTGATGTCGATGAGGCGGAGATGGAGAGGCGGAGGAAGGAGTGGAAGGCGCCTTTGCCGCATGTGAGGCGGGGTGCTTTGGGCAAGTATGCGAGGCTGGTGGGTGATGCCAGTCATGGAGCCGTCACGGACGCGGCGGATCCGTCGTGGTAGATGTAGACTTGCCTTGGTATAGACTTGTAATTCAGTATCATGTGGAAGTCAACTTGTTCGGCCTCTGTCATACGTTTGCTCGGATGTTGAAGTCCGAGGATACTACCCTCAACACCTCGGCCTTCTCCCTAAGGGACCGATGTTGTGCATAAAAACATGGGTCTGCTAGGTTGGCAACGCTGGATGTAGCTCGGTCAGCACCTTGAATCAATGAAATAAAATGAGACGAGCGTGGATGCGCTGTTTAGCTCCGTGTTCGAATATAGAATGAGGAATTGTAAAATATCACAAATGACAAAGGCTCAGAAGTTCAGCAGACAATGGTTTCCCTACATGTATGAAGTTGTGACCAGGGGTTTTCGGTTAGACGTGGGCAAGTCAATCTGGAAGGTTGCCTTCATCAGCTTGTAGTAGTATCTTGTAGTTCATTTTAATAATGAGATTTGGGAGTCCCATCTGGCGTAAGTTCTAGTCATTTACATAGGACTCCACACACCGTACCGTAGTAGGCTGGCTTCCAGATCAAGCAATCCTCATTCGTACTGATGAATATACAACCGGGAAAGGAAGAGAGAAATAGCCCGCGGAGGGGGGGGCGGATATCGCTGCAGTTCACCGCAGCGTGGAGTGGACATGAAACTCTGCAGTCATTTCCTTTCTCGGCTTCTTACGACAAGTCAGCCTCACTCTTAGCAGGCAAGTATTTAGGTTATAAATCCAAGAGGAGAGGGAATGAGTTACACTGTTCCGAAGCTCCTTGGATATCTTGCTGGATAAGACTCACTCAACAGCAGCAGGTTCCAACTCTGGACTCCGGCTGACCTTGGCTGGGGTTGGTCTAAATGGAACCTTTGAGTTGTTTACATACTTCGCTGTCACTGGGCAAGCATCACGGCACCGAGGCACTTGTCGTTGGTAAAACACATGTATACCATTGGCACTGGAAAGGCTGGAGCTTTCCAGCATGCACTTCTCTAACTTTGAAAGCTCTCCCGAGAACAGACGTCGATGTTTCGTTGTTTATGCGTCTCATACAGCTTGGTATCCTTGCGCGCGCGGTAAAAAGGGGCTTATCTAGCACCCTCGTTCTTCCTGCAGCATGTCTCCTCCCTCTCTCTCTCTCGCTCGCTATCGCGAATGCGATCTCTCCCACCTTCCCTTGCTCTCGACAACTTCAAAAAAAAAAAAAAAAGACTTGCGCGGCCCAGGGGATAGCCTGAGCCAGCCATTTCTGTAGCTTCCCACCTCTCTATCTCATGCGTCGCGATTCCTTGTGGTGTGTGATTGATGAAAAGGAAAAAGAAAAAGAAAAAGAAAAAGAAAACGATTATGGACAGTGACCGAAAACTTTGAAACCCGTAACTCCCAAAGAACTCGAGCAAAGGCCTGTAATGGCAATGCCGTTACACCCATGCGTGCCAACATTAATGAGACAACCTTCTGAAGACAAGGAGTCTGACGTCTCCGCTTCGTCAATATACAATCCCTTTTTATGTCGTTTCCTCCGTGACTGGCGCCAGAGCTCGTATGCTGGCGGTGACTCGTGACATCGTATACGTATGCGATGCATTGTCGTTGCCATTACGGGCTGGCCCATCCACCGGCAACATCAACCCATTCAGCAAGGCACGATCCCTCCTTGCCCTCGACGTCGACGATATCCGTATCGCATCGGCATCTGCATCCAACTCCGTTCTCCTTCTCAGAGTCCCAGTTGTCCCAGTACTTGTCTTCCTCGGCACGCTTCTTGTCATCGAGAGTTGTCTTTTCGAGGAAGGGCTGCCTGGGCAGCTGGCGGGCTGGAGCGTTGGCGGGGCAGTGCTGGATAGTGGTGTGTCGGTATCCAAAGTCACGGAAGTAGTGGATATCGCGAGGGGAGAGGAGGGCGCCGGCTGCCAAGGAGTGGATGGGGGCATCACCCCACTGTCAAGTGTTAGCTTAGTTCTTCATGGTTATGCATCGTCCGGACTTACGCGTTCCATCCAGAAGCCTCCACTGCGGTCCATCATCTCGAAGAACTCTTCGTATTCCTTGCTGCGGAACCAGTCGAGGCTGGCAATTTCGAAGTTGGACCAGAAATGGCACATGTTGTACGACTCGCCTTCCATAGCTTCAGGGTCGATGTCGGGCAGGTTGTTGCGGTTGGGATCGGCACGCAGAACTTCTTCGGGCAGCGGAGACTGGTCGGTGACCGGCTCTTCCTTCTTCTCGACGGGGTCGACGAACATCTCCCACAAGCCCTTGGACTTGATGCCCTTGAGGCGCTTGTAGGCGGAAGCGTATCTGAAGATGTTGGGGACAGTCTCGCGAAGTTCCTTGACAGCGATGGTGAAGCCGTAGGTCTTGTTGGCGTCGATCATGGCCCAGAAGGGATCACTGTGTGGAGATTAGCAAGTGAATTGTGGTCGATCAGAGTGTCCAGACGTACTAGGTGATGTCGCAGAAGTACTTGATCTCGGGCTCGAGACGCCAGTACCAGTTGTACTTGGCGAGAAGCTCATGCTTGTAGAAGAAACTGTGCCGCGTTAGCATAGAAATGAGAGGGGGGTCTTTGTGTCTCTGCAACGTACCCAGAGTAGAAGCGGCACATGGCGTGGTAGCTCTCCAAGCCACCGTACATGACGGCGGCGTCACCCTGCTTCGCGATGCCCTCCTTTGCGACCTTGTGGTCGATCCAGTCGGGGTAACCCCACATCTCAGGACCGACCTTGCCAAACTCGACGGGGGCAGACGTGTAGTTCGTGACAACCTCCTTGAAGGTCTCGTTGAAGTCGCCATCGTTCAGGAAGACATAGGGGTAGTGGTACCAGCGGTTGAAGTGACGCTCGATGGACTTGATCGATTGAATGACGCCCTCCAACTCCTGGTTGCGGGCCAGGACGACAAACGCACCGTTGGCCTTGGGTCTGCTCGTATCGGGCTCGAGGCATCCGGTGACGAAAACCTTGTCGTGCTCTTCGCTGATTTTCCTGTACGTAACGTGGTTAGGATTGATCAATCGAAGACTGTGAGATCAAGTGCATACCTGATGGCAGGGGGAGCGCCTGCGGGCATCAATATCCTTCCAGGCGAGCTCGGGTGTCTAACGAAGAGCACGAGGATAAGGATGACGACGATCAAGGGAAAGAGGATGACGACGCCGAGGGGTACCGAGATGCTCGAGTTTCCGCGGAGTCGCAGGGGCCTTTTGAAGAAAGCAAGTCGCGAGGTCAATCTGTTCTGGCGAGCGGCCTTTGTGGTAGGCTTCTCGTCGGCGGTAGGCAGTTGCGGCGACGTCGAGGTCGCCTTTGCGGCTCGTCTAAAAAGATCCATGACGGCGGCTGCGGCGCACCGTGGCCAGAGCAGTTGTGTGAAGGAGGGAGGTTGTGTTTGGCGGTTTCGTGGCGGAGAGATGTCGGATGAGAGATGGGATGGCTCCAAGGGTGGCGTTGAAGGATGTGTCGTCAATATTAGTAGGGTTGGATAAGGGGTGTGCAAGGCGATTGCGGTGCGATGCGTCGATTAATGGAGCTGTTGTCTTTTTTTTCTCTTTTTTTTTTCTTTTTTTTTTTTTTGGATGAACACGCGGACCGCGAACAAATCCAAAGCCGTATGTTATCGAAGTAGCATACGCAGGCGAAAAACAAAAAGGCTGATTGACACGTGGGTTGCGTGGGCGATGCGAATTGTGGAAGGGGTGCGGTACGTGAACGAGCGGCAGGGACGAGATTTCCCTCGAGCAAGGCGTCGGGTTTGGTGGTGGTTATGGAGTGCTGATCGCAGACGGAGGGGGGGGTTCGAAGCTGAGACTGAACAGTTTTCAGACTTCGCGTCGAAGGCGGAGAGGAAAGACACGGCACTCGCTGATGGAGAGGGTGTGATGTGGATGCGGTAGCGGAAGCGGAGCGCGCGGTTGCTTTGCTAGGCCTCGGTGTTGCAATCAATGGGCGAGTCGACGGTGAGACTACTACCCTCGTGGTATGTGGTCGATTGTGTGTGTGGGATTGTGGGATTGAGCCCAAAGGTCAAAGGAAGCAGAAGAACGTTGATTCTTCTCTACCAAAGATCACACACACACACACACACACACACACACACACACACACACACATACACACACACACAAAGGGCCTGACGGGTTGAGCCGAGTTTGGATGTGGTCAATTGCGTCGAACGAAGGGTCTCGTCTCGGCAGGCGACATAGGTCAGTGGCGTTCGCGAAGAAAAAAAAACAGAAGGCGCGGGCGCTTGCGAACGCTATCGTAGGTTGTCGTCGTTGTCGTCTTCGTTCGTTAGGTCGGAGGGAGGGTGTTGAGTTGGAGAAAGGGAAAGGTCGTTCGGCGGGATGAAGGGGGTGGGTTCGTGGGTGGGAGAGAGGAAAGGGAGTTGGGATCCGTCGGGGGCGAGTAACTTATGGAACCAACTTTTTTTTTCCCCGGGGGTGTGGGAAGGGGAAAAAAGCTGACAGATGTGACGGATACGGATGAGGAGACGTCTACGGGTGGGAGAGAGGTGGAAGAGAGGTGGCAGAGTTGCGGATAGGTAGCCCAGTCAAGGTCAAGTTGGCATTTTTTCAATGGCGATAGGGGAGCCGGGGGACGAAAGGAGACACGGTACATCAAGGTAAGGTAATAGGCGCCTTCCATACCGAAACCAATTTGACAGCACCACGCAATTCGATAGCGAGATAGGGATGCCGTCTCCTGTCATGCACCTCACCGGCTCACCCTCACAGCCACAGTTCACTCCATGGCCATGTGTGCTCTCTGCTCACCTCATGCTGGGCTCGCCGTGGTCTGGGACTTGCAAGTTGACGGGGATGGCAGAGACCAGACCGGACTGGACTGAATCTGGACGGGAACTGCAACGACTGCAACTCCAGAACAGCCAACCAGAGCACAGCAAGGGACAGCAGAGTGGGAGCGAGGGGGGCATTGGGTGGATGCGAGCAGCTCAGGGAACCTCGCGTCATTGGATAGATCGTCCCGCCAAGAACCACGGAAAGGAGAAAGTGGATCCCCCTCCTTTTTCGTCTGGATACCTGGGGTACGTACCCTTACTGCTGTGTCCCCTTGTGCAATCTGGACTCTTCCGTTTTCATCCAGCAGTCAGTCACTCTCTCTGTTTTTTATTTTTTACCTGTCTCTATCTCTATCTCTCCTATACACGATTACCTAGGGTACCTTGGGTATGGACTTTTCAATTCCTGCATCCTGCCAGCTGGCTTCAGAGGATGTTGCATTGGATGCTATAATTTCCTGTAATCTGGGTGTCTGGCTGCTGCCCTGGAGCTTGTCAGCTCCTGCCATCTGCGCCACGCTCCCCACCTCCCGTCTGCCCAATCGCCGGGCAGACAAATCGCACACCACCAAGGAAGTCCCAACCCGATCCTGCTCCGGAGGTGGCATACGACGCCCAATAGCAGCCAGTCTGTGCTTCTAGCGCCACGACCGCATGCGACACTGTCATCTCCTTCCTACCTTACGACCTTGCCTACGTAGTATGCTTCTGTCGTTATCGGCTGCCCACGAGTGGCACCAGCCGCGCACGCAATGAGGTTGTAAAAAGCTCATGCCGGAAATAATACAGATACAGCTTGCCTAGCTCCGTTGATCATTGATGAGTTTGATGAAGCCCATCTATCGGTGTGGATCACCAGATAACCATGACTTCAACTCTATTCTTCGTGTGGGTTACTCACATGATGTGCATGACTGGTGTATGCCATACTCACTTCACCAACCACTTTACCAACGGAGTACCCGTACACTTGTTTTGATGCTAATGGTATGAGGTGAAGCATAATCTCAACGCCCTGTCTTATTTTACCATATAATTAATTACCTTATATCATCCTCCTACATTCTTAAAGTCCATATCAAGCTGTCGGATGCCAGAACGGCTGAGACAACACAAAGCTCTCGTGCTCTGACTGACGTATGAAATAGTAAACTTAAATCATAAATGGACTGTTGAGCCTTATTTACATCCCTCTACATCGTAGAACGACAGTGACGCTCTCTCCTGTTATTGACCCCTTTCCGAATGAAGCCAGGTGCTCGCCTCAGTGATAAGACATCCTTATACACTGCAGGATGTTAACCGATAATTTCCTCCTTGTCATGTCTGACATTCGTGAAAGCTGAAGGTGCTCGGTTGAGGAGTGTATTACAATATTCCCCTCATAATGGTGGCTGCTGATATCTGCTGAGGGCCACCCCCCACCCCCCACCCCCTCGGCCTTCATGTAATTGCTGAGGTTCCTTACTTCGCCTTGCTAAACATCTTCTTCTCCGTAGACCTCATCTTGACCATGATCCTCTTATACAACGGATCCTGCAAAACCGCAGGCACAAGATCCAAGAACGCCACCTGCACCGCATGACCCCAATACGGAATCAGCACCGCCCTCCCACACCCGACTCGATCCAAGATAGCACTCGCGATGACCTCAACCGAAGGCCAAAACACCCGCGGCGTCATCAGCTCCGGCTTCGTCGCCACCGCCCCGATCCGTACGCCCATAACCTCGACATCAAACCCGTCCATCGACAGCTCCCTTGCCATGGACGTCGACATGGCGCCGAGGTACGCCTTGCTCCCGCTGTAAAACGACAGCAGCGGCAGTCCGTTATCCGAAAGTGACCCGACATTGATAATCAGCGCGGGCTCCGACGACGCAGTAAACCGCGGAATCAGAATCGCGTTAAGCAGCGTCGGAAAAAGCGCATTCATGTGCACGTTGGCCGCAATCTCCTCCACAGATGATTCATCCAACCTCCTCATAATCGGCTCCGCCGGCCCACCGCCGACATTATTAACAAGCACCCGCAAATTCAAGTTCTCCAGCGGCGCAAGCATGACATCCCACGGCTTATCCCCGGCCCCGAGAACCCCGGCATCGCCAACCATGATGCGAAACTCCCTGTCCGGGTTCGCGAGCGCGAGGTTATGCCGCACCTCTTCGAGCCTGACGTCGTTGCGGCCGTGGAGGACGACGTTGAAGCCCCGGGCGGCGAGCTCGTTTGCGAGGCCTTTGCCTATGCCGTCGCTTGCGCCTGTGACGAGGGCCCAGGCTGGTTTGCCGTTGACGGGGACGAGGTAGCGGTTGAGTTTGGATTTGCGGAGGAAGGGGAGGAAGGGCCATGCGAGATTGTATGCTACCCCGAAGAGGGCTATGAGCCCGATAGTTTGAAGTAATCCGAGAGAGTCCATATTAACTTGATTAAAGGAGTAAATACCTAGCTGAAAAATAATATTTTGAAAAAGAATTAGCACGAATGTGAATGAAAGAGCCCAAGCTATGGTGCCTACCTTGTCTCCGTTCCATGGTCAGCTACTTAAACGCTCGAGAGAAACGAAACACGCATGTGAATGGTCGGACCAGACGTCATCCAGTCCAAGAGGCTGTCGAATTGACTCTGGCCAACAGGGATGGCTCAACAACAACAAACGCCAGTTCTTCATGCTCCCCGCGTGGGAGTTGTGCATCCGAGGGTACGAGCAGCAGCCGGCTACCACGAACCGAGATACGGATACGTCTCTCGGAGCCAAGTCGTTCCCCGATGAGCGGCTAGATGAGCTGGATCTACCCGCGGCCTACGCAAGATAGTCCTCAGCAGGTCAGCAATGCAAGGGTTGGGCCGAACTCTGCTTCCCCTTTTGCCTCTGACAAGCCTATTTCCCCAGACCAGAAGCCTAGGCCGTTCGTTTCCGCTCAACATCGGACGGAGAATAGGGAAGTGCGGAAAATAAGGCCCAGCTTTTTTGTGCTTTGGGGGTAGTAGTAGTAGTAGTAGTAGTAGTAGTAGTAGTAGTATTGATACAATGTCTGTACATACAAATCGCCGGGAAGTAATGGTACATTTTTTCGTCCTGTTTTTTCTCTCTCGCTCTTCCTCCACACTCGCCACCGTTCTCCCGCGTCTACCAAAGGACGTTGTCGCGGGTAACCTTCTTGGTCTCCTTGCGCGACTCCTTGTCGGCGTGCTCAATGCGCTTCCTCGCGAGCGGAACCTTGAAGTACAAGGAAGGCGACTCGCCCTCCTTGAGCAGGTGGCTCAGGTAGCCGCGGTGGGCGGGGTCGCGGTAGTACTCGATATCCTCACGGCTCGTGGGGTCGGGCAATCTGTAGTGGAATGTCTTGTTGCGGGTCTCGGAGAGGATACTGTCGACGTACTCCTTGCCGACGGGCAGAGGCTTGTCCGTGTTCAGAGACTCGCCGCTGAGGAGACGCTTGATGGACTGCTTGGTGTAGAATCTGGTGAGGATCTTGCCGCCGTTGCCCTCGACGGCGTCAATGGCCGAGGCGGAGGCGCGCGAGACCATGATGTCGATGGGCTGGCGGAGGTCGGTCTTGCCGCGGCCGAGGAGCTTGATGCCGTCCTTGACGCTGCCAATGAGGCCCGACTCGATGATTTCCTTGACGGTGATTTGCTTCGTGGGGTCCAGTCGGCCGGCGTCGATCCATTGTTGGAGCTTGTCGAGGTTCAGTTTGGACATGACGGGGGCGCGCCTGCACTCAGAGGTTAGATACTGTTCGTTCAACGAGCCATTGGCGCAGGAGAGTGAGGAGGGCAAGGCAACCTACTTGTTGTCGAAACCCTTGGTTCCCCTTTGCACGATCAACGGTGTCTGACCACCCTGGAACCACGGCTTGACGTGACCATGCTGTCCCTGACCCTTGTGACCTCTTCCAGACGTCTTTCCCTTGCCGGCAGAGGGACCACGACCGAGTCTGATGCGCTTGTTGTAAGCTCCCTTGTTGTCGCTCAGGCTGGCGAGGATGGAGGCATTGCGGGTGCCGATGGACAGGCCGGCGAAGAGGGAGACGAGGCTCGTAGGGTTCGTGGAGGGGCGGATGGCGCGGCTGCAGCATGTCGCAGCATGCAACGGCGATAATATCCGTGGCGGCATTGTGAGGGTGGATGTGGTGGTGGTGGTGGTGGTGGGCGTTGGGTGACGATGAATAGCGACACGGCCGAGATTCCAGGTCCGGTCCTCCAAAATTTCCAATGGAGCCTCACTCTCGGGAAGCTGCTGCAGGTGGCCCGGTCGCGGTTCGGCGGGTTCACGCGAAGAAGAGCCGACCAAGCCACACTTGTGGAAAGTGGCTGAAGCTTAGGTTATCCACGTGTGGCTGGTGATTGAGATGTACCTTGCATGCTTACCTAAGGCCCACTTGAGGCCATGACTTGCGTTAGGCGCCTGAAGCTTCCCTGGCGGCAGCCCAGCGCCCCTCCAAAGGCTCCAACACTGACCTGCGACAGGGACTGTTTGCTCCGCAACAGCGTGGTGTCCCGGTTCAGTCCACTAGGTGTCCCAGCTCCGTCCCTGGTTCAGGCACAGACGGGCAATGAATTCGGGCTTACCTCACTGTCAGTGTTCACCAGAAACAGCGTATCCTCGTCCAAGTCCCAATGGATGGAAAGTACCAGGTTCCTTCCCACGGCCCGTCTCGACTTGTCTCAAGCTTCCAATCCTTGGCCCCAGCTTTGCCTCCAGGTTGGGACTCTAGGAGTAAAAAAAAAAGTTTCAAGCTTTTCGTCTTGATTAATCTTTTTCTTTTCAAACCTCCAAATCGTGAGATCGCTTTCTTGTTTCTGTACAGTTTGTTGGGTGTACGTACGCATCATCATCGCGAACCAGTGCTGCGTGTACATACATAGGTACCTTAACCATTTTCGCGGCCTGTCGCATCATCCGCCCCCTGGAACACCCCCCCCCCCGGTCCTCCTTTCATCATCGTCTTTTTATTCCTTGCGCTCTGTTGGTGTTTGCAAGGTACGGATACTCGACTGGACTAGACGCAGCATAGCTCTCCCAGCCGAACTCAAGCTCTCTCGGCTCTCTGTTACTGCGATACCTTGACGTTGGCGCCAGTACCTACGCGGCAAGCTTACTCCGTCCGGACCTTTGGTCACCACGACTCACCCGTGGACCTCTCTGCTCTCTTACCTCATCTCGTCACACTGCAACCGGCCGTATTCTACAAAGTCCCCAGTTACGCATCAATTACGAGGCCTCTCTGCTCTGCGTCCTGCGTTGGATAGCGCACTCCTCCGACCAGCAGCCCTTCCAATTCGTCCAAGGCAGGTCAATCGGCCTCCAGAGTACAGATACCACCAGCCAGATTCCAGTACTACCTCGACGACCTTGGAGCTCGTTACCACCAATAATCGCCTACAATGTCCCTCTTCGGATCATCACCACCGGCGGATTCGCCCTCAAACACCTCTGCTGCACCCTCGCGATCGCTGTTCGACGAAGGCTCCATGTCAAAGTCCGGCTCCAATTCGCTCTTCACCGACGACGATCTCGCCGGAGCTGAGAGCTCGCCCTGGGACATGCCCACTCCGAGGAAGAAGCAGTCGCGCGCCGATGTCGTCCGCAACCTCTTATCCGCCTCCGACGTGCCCGAGCCCTACATTGAGACCTTTGACGCAGTCGTGCGCGAAGATGGCAGCGGAGAGCGCGTCAACGCCGGTGGCATAGCCAAGCTATTCGCTGCTGCGCGCCTGGGAGCCGACCAGCAGGCGCAGATCATGTCCATGGTTGTGCCAGCTGCAGGTGGCGACATTGCTGTCGGACGCGGCGAGTTCAACGTCCTGCTGGCTCTTATTGCCCTGTCACAGGAGGGCGACCACATCAGCCTCGACACCGTCGACGAGCGACGCAGAAGTGAGTCCATTTTCCACCTCTTTTTTCTTTCCGTCACCATCACCATCATCACCACGACCAGCATCAGCAACCAGCAAACATCCACTTTTGTCTTGCCCACCTTGTTATGTCATGACCTCGGCACCCTGTTCGCCGAGCTGAGCTATCCGACCCTCGCAGCTATCCCTCCTTCGTACCTTGCTACCACTTATCAGTGCGCGCAATCTGTGTGGGGTTCTCTGCTAATTGCCAATACACTAATCCAGATCTCCCACTCCCCAAGCTCGCCGGCTTGACTGCTGCTCCCGTGATGCCTCCCGTCTCCGAGCTTGCTGCCAAACCTCCTCAAGCCCCTGCAACCCCCGTCCAAGATACCCCATCGCCGCCCTCACCGCCGCCGCCGCAGCCCACTACTCTGCGCCGACCTCCGATGGACTTCCCAGAGCCAGAGGACCCATGGAACTCTCCCGATGTACACAAGGGCCACGCGCACGCCATCGCCGAGTCCCCTAGTAGAACCAACGGCGCCAGCCCCCAGCGCCCGGCAGCAAATGGCAATGGCAACGGCAACGGCAACGGCCACTACAGCACGTCTCCGAGCACCGCTATCGCCGGCCGAACCATGTCTTCCTACACGTCTGCGGCCATCGGCTCAGAGAGAAGTCCCGGGCGCCAGGATGTAAACACTGGGACATCGCCGGGTGGTGGATGGGGTGGCTATTTTGACGGCAACACCACGGGAGGCGGCTTCAGCGAGCCGCCCCCCAACAACCAGGTCACAAGTCCCTTCGGTGGTGCGAGCGGTGGACGCGACGCGAATCTGAACCCCGCGACCGTGCCGTCTCTGCGGCCCGCCGTAAGCGGTCGTTCGGGAAGTTCTGTGGAGGAGAACGTCGTCGTCACGTTGATGCCGGAGAAGGAAGGACTCTTCATGTTCCAACATCACAACTACGAGGTTGCGAGCGTCCGACGAGGTAGCAAGGTTATCAGGCGGTACAGCGACTTTGTATGGCTTTTGGACTGCCTGCACAAGCGGTATCCGTTCAGGGCCCTCCCTCTACTGCCGCCTAAGCGTGTTGCTGGTCAGTCTGGATGCTATTTTTTGTTTGCCATGTTTACATGATTCCCACTAACATCAACATGTTAGTCAACGGCAACCACTTCTCTAACGACGGTGCCTTTATCGAGAAGCGCCGCAGAGGCCTGGCAAGGTTCCTCAACGCCCTTGTCCGGCATCCCATTCTGAGCCAGGAACAGCTCATCATCATGTTCCTCACTGTCCCGACTGTAAGCCACGTCTAGTCTTCTCGGTCTACTGCATCTCGCTAATTGTTAGTATCAGGAACTGGCTGTATGGCGCAAGCAGGCCACCATCTCCGTCCAAGACGAGTTCTCAGGACGTGCCCTGCCGCCCAACCTGGAAGATTCGTTGCCGCCCACCCTCGAGGGCATGTTTGAGAAGACGCGCTCCGGCATCAGACGGTCAGCCGAGCTGTACATTAACATCTGTAACGTCATGGACCGCCTGGTGAAGCGCAGCGAGGGAGTTGCGGCGGACCACGCTCGCATCGCCATGTCTCTGACTTCCCTCACTGAGACGAGCGCCGACACATACGCCAGCGACACCAACGATGTCCCTCTGCTCAATGATGGCCTGACGTCCATGAGCAGACATCTGAGAACGTGCCAGACGCTTTTGGAAGATGAGAGCAAGGCCTGGGACGAGGGTGTGTTGGAGGATCTGAAGCGCCAGCGAGACGCTCTGGTGAGCATCCGTGACTTGTTCGATCGCAGGGAACGTCTAGACAAGGACAATATTCCCTACCTCGAGCGGAGGATCCAGACGAATGAGACCAAGTTAGCCAGTCTTCGCAGCAAACCTGATGGCATGGTCAAGCCTGGTGAGATTGAGAAGGTGGTTGAGTCGATTCTCAAGGTACGTCTCACGCGTTCTTCTGTTTTGATGGTACAGTACTAACATTATTTATAGGACAAGGAGTCTATCGTCAACCAACACAACCGATCCATCTTTGTCAAGGAGTGCATCCGCGACGAGCTCATCTACTTCCAGACTACGCAGTTCCACGTCTCGCGCTGGAACCAGGACTGGGCCCAGGAGCGCGTCAAGTACTCTGAAATGCTGGCTGACAACTGGCGCCGCCTCCTCGATGAGCTTGACGGCATGCCCCTCGGCGACTAATTACATTTTCCTCCCTACTTCACCCTTTCTCATGAACGCATCGGCTTTGCATATGAGCGTCTCTTCACTACTGGCGTTCCGGTCTTTCCTCTTCATCCGCCGGGATTGTTTCGACTCTTGCGTTGGACTGTGTCAGCAACAGTCTCCCCCCAGTTTTGTACGAATTTGTGTCCGATGGTCCTTGTCTTTTTTTCTTCTGAGCACGATATCTCTCAAGTCAGAATGTACATCTTAGAGCAGGGACCCGTTGCCGAATACCCTTTGGTTACGCAAGTTGCTTTTAATACATTGTTCTTAATCTCAGCATCATCTTTTGTTCTTGCATACCGTGACTCTCCTGGCAATTTCTTCGAGATCAACGAAGCGAAGTTGCCGTCGCCGTTGTAATCAGATTATTCAAATTGTCCGATGGCTTCAGGTCAGGTTCAACCCCATCTTTCTGGTTTTATCTCAAGTAAAAGTTTTATTGGTGGATGAGGCCTCGACCACTTGATCCGGTTCCGCATCGTCGACAAGATTGATGAAGCCCGTCACTCGAAGTTTCATTCGCAAAGGAACCCCCAAAAGAAATCATGTTCGGCAAATATCTAATCTCTTCAGCCCAAGTAAGTGGTCATGGATTTTCCCATCTGATGAGACCCTGAGCTTTCGAGCTAAACGGTGATTTCTCTGTTCATCAGATCACAGATGTCATCTACCAGATAGATACTGCCCACGGTACGAAGCTCTTCAATCGTCGATATACCATTTTGAAACCAGGAAAAGCCTGTTACCGAAAAGGCTATGGCCTACTGGTCGAGTCTCTCCATTAAAGCTCCCGTCTATCAAGGAGACGTCATCAAAAACGAGCTTTAAGGATTGGTAAACAGCAAAGCCTCACATAACACCTCACCCAGCCCATACTCGGAACTTCTGGGTTCTTCTCCTCTTTGCCTCATGCTTCAAAGGAACACCGCCATGCTCTGGCCGTGTCCCTGGATCGGTATGGCACACGCCCCCCCAACGGCTCCCCATCACAGCCTTATGAAAAGAGCCCCCGTCCACGTCCTCAACCATAGTACGGCTCGACAGCCTCATGACGAAGCAAAGCCATCATGAAAATCTCATGAGCTCCGTTAGAACTCACGCCCTAGAATGCCGTCAACAAGCGGATCCCCCCACGATGGGAATTCACGATGGGAAAACCCTTTCAGCTAGCAAGACACTTTGGAGTTTTCTTTTTCTTCTTTTTCCCATCCAGACATCACCACTCCCTTCTTCCAGTTTTCTGGAGATATCTCGATATGCAGAAAATAGCCTCACTTACCAGACTCAGCCAAGATGGATGTAAGTCTCCCCCTTGCCCCCCTATTTCTTGCGAGTGTTGCCTGCTAATAATCGCTAGCAGAAGGAGGAGGAGAAGAAGAAGGAGAAGAAGACCGTTCCGCCTGTCGACTTGAGCAACGAGGATGAGATCGAGGAGTTGCCCTCCTCGGCTATCCCCGCCGCTGTCGCCGCCGCCGCCGCCCGCGCTGCCGCCCGCGCCGCCGGCCGCCAGGCGTTTCTTGCCGGCCACGGCCATCGCCTCCTCGCCGCCCTTTTTACCGAAGGCCGGTCCCCTGCCCTTGCCCGGCCTCCCGTGTCTGCCGCGCCCACCTCTGCCCGACCCGCTGCCCGTGCCGTGGCTGCGGCTGCTCCTGTTCTCCCTGCTTTCGTTGCTACTCCCGCCTTCCGCGCCACCAATGGCCTCGCCAGCCCGGAGAGCTCGGCCAGCTCGAGCTCAGCCGACTCAGGCAGCTCGGCCTCTGTCGGCTCCCTCTTCGACGACGAGGATCTTCAAGGAAGGAGTAGCCAGGGGCTGAACGGCCGAGCCAGCAGGAAGGACCACCGCCTCTGCAAGTTCAAGATCTACCAGCGCAGGCAATGCCGATCCAAGTACGCCAACGTCTATCGATGCAGAGGGTACCCCAAGAATCCCGCCCTCAAGAACTTCCTCTACTGCTCCCGCGAGCGGAAGTGTCTTCACAAGTCCAACTTCAAAGACAAGGACGGGAAGATCAACCTCAAGAATTGCGCCAACTGTCGCGCCAGTACTCAGACAGCCAAGATCAAAGACGAGAATGAACGAGAGGCCAGGAATTAGCAGCTGCTCTCCGAATTCAATGCCGTTCCGTTTACGCTTGGTTCCGGCGAGGGCCGCAACCTCAAGGGCAAGAAGAAGGGTCTGGGAAAGAAGAAGTACCATGGCAAGAAGACCAACTCTGCCCGCAAGGGCAAGGCCACCAAGAAGTCCGGCCGAAAGGGTAATGAGACTGAGTCCGAGGTCGAGTCGGACGTCGAGTCCCTGGGCATGGACCTGCCCGACAATCGTCCCGGCTTGAATAAACGCCGCCGCGACGAGGACTCCGACGACGACAACTACGGCGCCAACGGCAAGGGCGGCTTTTCTGGCTTTGGTGGAGGAAACGGCGCAGTTCCCGTTGCTGCTTGTTGACGAGGTCGGTCTCGTTCCCCGAACGCTACAGAGATCAGACATTCAACTTCATCCACGACTTGGCTCTCCATCTGTACCAGGAGCTCGCCTAATCTGATACAACGTACATCAAGAGACGACACGGAGCTGAGATGAAGTGGACCTGGGACGAGGGGTGGAAAGGGACTGGGAGTTGAGAGACGTGGGCGGCCTGTTGTTTGAGTGTGAGGAGAGCGAGAGCCTGTAGGTATAAGTCTGGGCCTCGAAGTACCTTAATTCTTCTGATTCGAAACCCTCCCCCCCTTGATCTGAAAGTTCTCTGAGTGATTCGTTTGATATTTTGTTGACTGAGACGCCTGAACTGAGCAATATTTGAAGACAGGGCATGCTTCAGCCTTCAATTCTCATCTGTTACACGTCGTCTAGGGACCTGCCATTTGATATGCCATTTCATCTTGCCAAGGCTGCCACCCATAGATAGACTTCGTCATGCCTAGATCCCACCTTTTCTTCCTCCTAGTGAACTACCTAATGAACAGCCCGATGAATCTCCCATTGAACCACCCAGTAAGCCTCTGTTTCACCCGGGGGTCCGCAATAAGGCCAGGCGCTCACACCGCATTGGGGGTCTGCCTTAGGGCTATCATGAGCTTCACGGGCAGGTCAGGAAAGATGGATGCAAAAAGCCACCTCTGACCGGCAAGCGGGGTGGTCTGCCTACATAAATCTCTTCAAGGGCTGCTCTGGCTCTTTCTTCTCTTTCTTCTTCTTTCCATACTCGACAACCACAAAGATTTCTTCGATCGAGGTCGAAGAAGATCACCACATCAACAAATCTTCCGAACAAAGACCTTAAGAGGCCTCGAGCCGAGCTGCTCACCATGGAAAAAGTGAGTTGGCCTTCTATTTCCTTCCATCTGGGTTCCTCTTCTTTTCTCTTGTACTGCCAGAGATGGCGATTTCGACCTTCAGCCTCGTGCTGAGGGTTTTGGTGCCTCTCAAGCTGTTTCCTATCTCATCACCATCAACCCATCATTCAGCTACCGCGAATTGCTTAAATTTCCTCCAACACATGAATTTCAATTCCAGAATCGTTCATGTATCACTAGATCAGCGAGCTAATATTTCATCCAGCCAAAGGGCCAAAAAAGCGAGAAGAGCGTTCATTACCCCTGCTACAAGGACGCCTATTCCGCCACTCAATACCCCAAGGGCATTCCCCGCCGTTGCCTTGGCCAGAATCTCGAGTGCGCGCGCCTCGTCTGGTGCGGCAGCTGCCGCGTATGTCGTGATGAGAGTTGGTTCCAACAGGACCCTCCCGGTTACTTCAAGACTCGTTCTTGCAACCAGTGCGAGAACAAGAAGAAGGAAACGAAGATGAAAAAGGCCTCTGAGGATGAAGATACCGCAGAGCAGGCTTCTTCCAGTCAGGCTTATTTCAGCCAGTCCGCTCCCACCCAGCCTGATCAGCTTGTGCGGCTGATCCCTCCCCCGACTCAGCAGCAACTCTCGAGTCTTCATGCTTCTGATTCCTACCAGCAAGCTTTTGGTCATGTCCAGTCGAACCTTGGCTTCATGTACAACCAGGAAGCCTTTGGTCTTCCTCCGCCTCCCACTCCCCATCCCGAACCTACCACTGGCCCCTCTCAGCAGATCCCTGGCCATGCACAGTCGACTCCCATCCTTCCGGCGAATATCGGCTTCATGTCTACACAGCATTCTATTGGCCGCAATCAGCCTCCTGCTGGCTATTCTGAGCAGAGCACTTGCCCGCCTCTGGAGTACCTTGCCGGTTATGGCTAGCAGCCTGCCGTCTATGCTCAGCATCTACCTGGCTATTCGGAGCAGACTACCACCCAAGATCCTGGCGATGCGCAAGGCCAGCAGCCTGATGGTCCTGGTCTACTTACTCTGAGACATCTTGAAGGAGCATGCCTGAAGAAGTCAACCCCGGATTTATCGTGAGAATCGATCCTCTGATCTCCACTTCTCGTGGGTTTGAGAGACACTGCGTAGGTCCAGGGCTCGGATATCCAGAGCCGGGCTCTAGATCTGCACAGAGTCTCTCTACGCTTACGAGGAGTGGAAGGAAGAGCAATAGTGGTTCTGCCTCAATAGGGTAAGCAAAATTCCTCTTCTGCAACACGATTGGTTACGGACCAACTCTTCTCTAGGAGGTCATGGGGACGGACGCCCGACGAAAACTTGAGGCTGCGAGCGGTCGGGAACGTGGATATCGGAGCTGGGGAAATGGGAAGCTTGGGTCTCGAAATAGAGGACTGTGGGATCTTCTACTCCACTCATGCCTGCTCACTTCCACAGCAAGTCATACTCTTTCATCGGCTCAGACCACAAGTCTAGTTGATATAGTGTGCATATGGGGGATATTTGAAGAAGTCGTGAGAAGCGATCCACTCAAAGCCGAGATGACGAAATGGGAGCTGGAGAAGTTGCGAAGCTCAGGACCTAGAAAGCTTAGGTCGCCCACAGGGTCATCGTCAGAAGCAACCCAACGAAGATACATATCTCTTGACCATGCTTTATATACCTATCACGTGAAATTTCCTGCGTGTGGTTGAGCATGTGAGAAAGAAAGCGAATCCATTGACCTGGCATACTTCCTTCGGGAAGCGATCCAGAGACAGGCCAAATCAAGCCTGAAGTTAGTACGAATGATATCGTGAATTTGGTCAAGACCAACTAAAAATACGAGCAAGTTGCGAAAGAGAGGGCAGCCGAGAGGTACGTGTCTTTCCCTGAGCCCCGACGAAATTTCGATGATGTCTAGTTCGTGATACTGATTTCTGTCACATCTTCAATAGTGATCCGATCCTCCTAAAGCACGACTACCAGAAGGGACAGCTTCCATCGTATTATCAATCTATCTCACGCATTTCTCCTATGAGAGAAGTTTTCAGATCCGAAGAGTGAGCAGCATGGGGTGACCGAATGCCCCGAAAGATGAGCGGACGGCATGCGCGCCCTCCGAACGATGCGGACTTGCGCATGCAAAGCTCATTTCACGTATTAAAAACTCTTATTGGACATAGCTTTTGAGATGATCAACAATAGTGAGTTCACCGTAACGGGTTGGTTGTTAGTCAGAGAGCGCTCAGAGCTATTAGGTACATTGCGATGAGACCGTTGCTGGAGTTCATGTGGTGATCAATGAGCTTAAGCTGGGCCACGTCGATCTGCATCGACTTCACCAATACATAGACTCTGCTTGCTGTCAGATGCTCGCCGGATCTTGGCGCGGCATGGCGATCATCTTAAGAAACAATACGAGATACTGGAGCCCGCGGTCCGCGACGCCGCGTGGCCGACGCCTTCCGGGCGCCGACTCCCGCCGGCACACGGAATGCGGAAGCTTAAGATCTACTGAAACAGCGAGACTCATGCATTCCTGACCACATCAACTTGCCCAGTTTACCTGGCGTGCTTTCTTACATCTCCTTCTTGCGGAAGAGAAGTTGAGTACTAAAAGGGAGGGGGAGCATCGGCACCTTTCCCAAAATCGCACATGAGTAACCCTCGCCTAACCTCATTCTCCCATGACCATTCGACGTCCATCCGCTTTTGGCTCACCGCTGCTTCACACCATCTTCGATCAACTCCCGCTGCTCTGTTTTCGCATCATTCTCGTATTTCACGCCCGTCCTGCATCTCTCGCTCTCAAAGTGCCAGGCTATCAATGACGGTACCATCCCAAAGAGACCCAAAACGCAACCCTCTTATCTCATCACAGAGATAGTGGACGGCTGGGATGTGAGCGAGGCTGCCAACCAGAAGGCCGAGACCCCCGGCTAGTTGCCGGCGTCGCGCATATCAATAGATAATGCACCGCGATATGGGCATGTGGGATGTGGGATGCGGGAAATGCCAGCAGAGCAGATCGCTGAGACTGATAAACCCTAGGATGGACCACAGCGGGATGAACCGAAGCGCTGGATATCAGATATATCAATCGCCCCGGGTCACTAGTCTTGCAGGGCACGCGCGCCATCGCGGGGCAACCTTTTCCTGACTTCACCGTATCATCGCGGATGGGGAACTTTCTCGGCAGCTCGGCACCGCCAACGATGGGTTCGTATCCCAATCGAGAATTGCGTATAGCACGTACTTGGACGACGGATGGATTACGCTGTGCCGTGTTTCCCGACGGTTCTTACGGGGACCGGTTGCCGCAAGGGATTAAGAGAAGAGCGTGTCCAACAATCGACAATCCTCCGTCACTCACGGGCCACAGCACGGTTTATTCACAGCAAACGACAATCACGATCAAGCGAAGGGGCACTGCTGTGTTCTGAAAACATGAGTCGACATTATGGAACAGGAACAAACTCCTGGAATATGTATCTCGCATCTATCTTCGACGGCCGTTAATGCGCTCGAATCCGATCTCGTCGTCGAAACGCGGCGACCGTTTTATCTACCAGGAAGGGAACAAAAATACCCGGGACACCATTCGATGAGGATGAGAATGAGACAAAGATTAAGAAATAAAGGAAACCCGAGGTATTACATCCGTCCTGCACATCATCTGCGCGTTTCAACCTGCCGTTTGCTCCAATGTACACCAACCGCAAACAACAGGGTCGCTACATGTATGCGCCAGAAAAGCCAAAAGTGAGTAATGAAAATTCCACTGATTGGAGGAAAAAGCAAAGTCGTGAGAAGCATGAGGGACGGGAGGGAGTGATGACTGAAGAAAGCGCCACCGTCACCCCAAGACAGCCGCAAGCCTTAGTTGCACCACATCTCAACACGAGTCTTGTCGAGCTGGTTCAGGACGTCAAAGTCAAGCCCTGTTTGTCTGAAAGCGACGATGATCATGTCGAAGCGCTGCTCTAGCGACCGCGCATTCCAGTCCTCGACGTCCAGGCGCGAGATTTGCGGTACAGCCTCCTGCTTGACGAGGGGATCGGCCCAGCAAACATCGACCTTTTCCGTTAGCACGAGGCTCTTTGCGAGCTCGAGACCGGGAGAGTTGGCCAAGTGCGACTGGCCCTTCTTGAAGCCCATACCCACGACAAGGACGCTGGGCCTCAGCTTCTCGGCGCACAGGGTGTCGACCGCGCGCTGAGCAATCGTCATGGGGCGAGCGCGCATCTTCTCCGTTGCGTGTTGCAGGAGAGGGAACTGACTGTTCGAGAGAAGGTAGTAAGGGTTGACCGGAATGCAGTGACCACCGACACCGAGACTGGGCATGAATGGCATGTATCCGAAGGGCTTGGTCGCCGCCGCACCGGACACCTCGTATGGGTCAACACCGTGGCCCAAACAAGCATCGGCCATCTCGTTTGCGAATGCGATACACATCATACGCTGGCAATTCTCGTACAACTTGGTCATCTCAGCGACTTCGGGCCGAGACACAGGGACGACATTGTCGAACACCTGCGAGTATAGGCGAACAATGGCATTGAGAGAGCCTGGAACCACATCATCCAAACCGGAAACGATCTTGGGAATGGCGAATGCAGGCGGCTCAACTCGGCCAGGGTCAACTCGTTCGGGGGACATGCCGGCGAAGAGATGACGCTCCTGTGCCAGAGGTCCAAGCAGCTCTCTGGTCATACCGACTGCGACGGACGATTCGACGACAACCACTGAACCGGGGCGAGCGTATGTGGCGACGTTCTTGAGAGCAGATTTCAAGAAGGAAGCGTCGATGGTCTGGTCTGGGCGCAAAAGTGTTGGAACCGAGATGAGGAAGTGTGTGGCAGTCGCCATATCGCTGGGCTTGCAAGTGAACTTGGCCTTGCTGTCTGGGCCAAACTCCTCGCCAAGACTCTGGACGCGCGCCTCAGAGACATCGAAACCGAGAACATTGAACTTGCGGGCAAAGTTGCCAACGAGGTGCTCTCCAACATATCCGACACCGATGACGGCCACCAGAGGTTCCGCCTCGAGGTCAATGGAGCTTGCAACAGTTGCAAGCTCCTCATCCGACTCGCACTCCTCCGTGGGAGGCGTGATGGGGTAATATCCATCATGAGGGAAGTCCCATCCTTGAGGCTTGGTCTCCGGGGAGTCGAAAGGATATCCGTTGTGGCAGGTCGGAGACCGCTCCGGGGTATCGGGAGTGAGCATCTGGGTATCCATTGTGATGGAGCGAGGGTATAAACGAACGATGAGGGCTTCTAGAAAACGAGTGGTGGGGTAGGCCTGTGAAGATGAAGGAGAATACCTTTTCTGATATCTGCCTTTTGGGAAAAAAGTCAACTACACTGCCAAGTGGCTATTGCTCTTGGAAAGGGCGTAAGAGTGGAAGAGAGGGGCGCACGGAAAGGAAGGAAGAAAGCTCTTGTCAGAGGAAAGGAAACGGGAGTTAAAAAGACTTGCCAACTGAGGCACTGACATGATGGTCAGGCACAAGGAAGAAGGAGGAAGAGGAGACAGCCCACTCATGTTGGCCCTGCCCCTGGCGTCAGCTTTCTCGAGGTTGCCCAGACCAAACCGTTGCGACCGCCGTTCTCCATGGCAGCACCAAAGCAAAGCAATGATTGAGACATGGCATCAAACTGGGTGTTGCCGGCCCTAATCGGGATCCAAGCCTAGTTTGCAGCCTACGGCATAAACGCCATGGTAGTGGTGAGGCTCCCTCAAGTCAGCCCGGCGGCACGCGGCTGGGGGAATAGCGACGGGGCCGTGGGCAGATCAAAGCCGGAAAGAAGAACGACATGTTAGTTTCAGGTCGAGGCTAGCTCCCGAGCAGGCCAGAACTTGGGGTCGAACAGGCAACCATCAGCAATAGTTTGTCCAAAAGCAGTCCATGGCAAAGCGGCCTGAAGGTGGCTGAAGATTCCATCCCCTCAGAGCGCAACCACGACCACAGGCGCGCTTAGGCAAGACGACGCTGCACGGAGAAAGATACAATAGCGCAATATGGCATCAGCAGAACGACAATGGCAAAATACTGCTCAGGCCGGGTGTGTCCAGACTCTCAACACTCACCAGCAATATCATCCAGGTTGGAATCGCCAAGCTGGCAAGCCCGGATGCATGAGGCAGGCAAAGACACTCATCTCCCCTGTCTGCCCATCTCACTCTCGCCGAGGTCTCCTCCGACGCTTGATGTCATGCAGAACGCCCCCCGTCAACACTTGCTGAGGACCAATTTTTGGGGAGGAAGTTGCTGCGGCCTGTTCGGTTGGCCTGGAGTAGGCATGCTTTCTTGGAACTTGGACGCGGAATTTGAACATGACAATCTTTACTGCATGGTCATATTCGGGGTTCGTAAGCGGCGGTCCAGGATACTGCTGGATCGAGATGAATCGAAAAGACCGGAGGTTACGCTGGGGTTACCTTCGCATCTCAAGGCCGAGGGGGTGCTTGCTTGGCCACCGGCCTTGAGCGCGTCGATCACGTATGGCTGAATTCTTTTCGCGGAAGAGATTTCTCTACCTCTTTTCTCCGGCGATATCCTAGAAAAGGCTTGGAGGTCGTCTTCGACAGGAAACTTGCGAGGGTATCGACAGGGGTCCTGCAAGACGAGAAGGGTGTATGAGCAAGCTGGAAAATAGCCAGGGTGAGGCTTGCTTGCAGAGTACGGACTGAAGGCGGCGCACAGAAAGCTCCTTCGGTCTCCGTATTCCGTATGCACATTTCGAGGTCGACGGAAGCTACTGTCTTGGCAGCTTGGAATCGAGTCCAGAGTCGGATGAGACGACGTTATGTGTCGAAGCACAACAATAGAGAAGTATACGTTGTGGAGAGGATGATTGGTGTGAGGAACGAGACAAGGAACGTTCGGTCAGCTCCCCATGGATATGCATATCAATGCATATGCAACTGGGTGATGCATATGCATATGCCATGCAATATCTAACACGGCGACATGAAGCGAGGGACCCACCCCCGCTGAGTGCTTTATTGCATTTCGGAAAAATGCTGGGTGGTATTGCATGAGTGCGAGGTGTCTCTCATCCCCGCTCGCACGACTTTCTTCTTTCTTCATCTTCTCCGTTACTGCATCACCATCTTATCATTTTCCCACGCCCCCTCCATCACCACCCTCCTTTATCCCCCGTCCGCCCCTCCTTCCAGCTAGGCTCTTAGTTCCGTGGGGCGCGAGACCATCATGGCTTTCCGGACCGTCCTCCACGACCCCATCCCATCAACCGCCCGTTCGACACCGATCCAAGCTTCCAAGCCACAAACGGCCCCTTGCACTGGGCGGCATACACGTGGTGGAGAACAACGCCAATGGAGGACTGTTTCCCTCAGAGACGCCTCTTTTTGCCCTATCCGTTCTCTCTGAAGCTCGTTTAGGAAGAGAAGAAGAAAACATTGATGCCAAGAGCTCCCCTTCATCTCGTCATTCTCGGCTCGGGACCGGCGCGGCGCCTTAGGGAAAGCATTTGTGTTGCACACGCAGCCCACCTACCAGCTGGATTTCGGGACCCCTCAAGCCACAGCGGCTCTCTGTCAAACAGCAAACAAGCAGCCTCTGGTGTGCTGAATGATGTTATTTGCAGTCCCGCCGCCTGGGGCCAACAACTGGCTCGAGCCGACGGCTTGTAGCATGATGCTTCATTCAAACAAGCAACCTCTGTCCGAAACGGGGCGCTGAGAAGGTTTGATCGGCGGCTAGATCGTACACTGTCGACCGGAACGGCATCATCAAGCATTCGGCTCGTTTCAAGTTACGATGGCAGCTCTTCTCGAAAGGAGTCCAAAGACGGGTATTTTGTCTTTGCCCTCCCCCCATGTGTCCGCGACAGCGAGACGACAACGACTTCGACTCTGATGCCGTCTCCTCATCACGATCTCGCAACACTTGCCGACCTGTCTCGACTACCAGAAGCCCAACGCAGCGTCCGCGGACGAAGGCGCACCGCCACTGCGCGTTTCTCAGACTAGTTCTCTGCGGCCTGAAAGAGTTTTTCAATGTTCCGACCATGGGATTTGCCATCCTACTCGGTGTGTGCCCTCAACACTGGCATGATTGGTGGGACTTCGTGCCTTCGCCTCAAGCTGACGAACCAAAAGATGGGATGGCAAAGGCCTCCGCGCTGGTGCCATCTGCACTGCAAATGCAAGATGCAATACAATTATAGAACTGCAGAGGCACCCCCGGCGGATTGGCGATGGATATTGGAGCCGCAGCCTACAGCCCTGCCAGGTTGGCGCCAAGTTCTGCCAACAATGCAAAGAAGACGAGGTGCATCTCACTCTTTGTGTGAGGTTGGGGATGTCATTGGCCCCAGCCATGATCGCACCGCTTCAGTCTGGTGACTTGTGCGTCCTCAGTCTTCTGATTATACGAGGAGGTCCAGTCATTGAGGCTGCAGTCTTTCCTCGATCATTCGCACCTTACGACCTTGTCCAACTTCATATGACATCAAGAACCCGACAGGCTTAGGCTGACAGTTCCGGCTCTCGTGGAGGCGAAAACCCTTCAAGTTAGCGTCTACTTTGTTGCCGAAAAGTTTGGTCTGCGGAGAGGACGATGCTGACGGCACTAAAAGACTGGAGCATATCAACATTTTCTCATAGCCAAGAAACAAAAGTTCCCCGCCTGTTTGTAGGAATTTAGGAGGTTAAGGAGGAGACCGACCGGAACCTCGCTGACGAGGACACGGTACTGCGCATTGCAGTGTGTCGCCGGGTATCGGCGACTTCACCTCTCGGGTTCATTACCAGAACGTCGGAGTCAGCCAAGGACCGGCGCATCCGCAGGAGGACAAACCTGACCAGTCTTGGGGAAACACAAACCCGTCCATTTGGTTAGTCTACGAGAAGATTCCGATCTTCGCACCAGCTTCTCAGGAACAACTAAGGATGGCGAGGAAGACCAGACGAACGACAACGTACCCTGGTTCTTGATTCGGTCTTCGAAGTCATGCGGTGAAGCTATTCTCGCAGTCAAGTTGGACATTACCGTAGTCTGGACATTGACGCCGCAGGGCATGGAACTGAACGAGAAGATTTCTTTGAGAAGAAGGACGGGTACGTACTTCACCATGTCGACTCCCCCGCCTGCCCGGTTTCCCGCTTCGCTATGCGCATCTACGAGTATGGTGCTACTCGGATAATCGAATGTGAATATTGACAGGGGGCATCCACCTACAGCCAGGGATTCTGGACTTCTCGGGGGCATCTCGTCGCCCGCGGTCAGCCCCCCGGTCACATCCCAGCTCCTGGTCTTTGATCTTCCTCTAGGTATGCCCCTGTTATTCTCACAAAGCACATCATCAATCTATCATCAGGGCACCTGCAGTGGATCTTCGGTCTGTCTGGCTGGAGGCTGGCACGCTGGCCTGACTGGGTATGTTATTGCCCAGCTTCTGCAGCTCCAAGTCTGCAAGGGCCCAATATGTCTGGTCTCACTCAGCCCATCTCATACTCAATGGGGAGAAAATTTTTCCTTTTCACCGTTAGCCTGCCAACGCACACCTTGTCTACCAGTTACTGTCCGGTTGTTGGACGGCTGGCCTCGTACACGAGCAATATCTGCCGATCCCAGCCTTTAGTCGGGCACAACGGGGCCATGATCGGGTGAAAGCTCATATGGTTCATCTCTTCAACTCCGCGAGATTCCCGTACCTGACCCGGCTCTCACGGCTCTGCAATTCGTATGCCACCTGTCGACAGCCTATGCGTCAATGTCTGGCATGGAGTCATGCTGGGGTTACGTACGAATAGTTGGGTCTGAAGCCATGGATTCAACCATCTGAAGGACGCAATGTCATGCTGAATATTGGAGTCTTAGCCTACGATCCAACGGGGCACCGCCTCGTATCGAGAGGGTTGGAAGTGCCAGTCTACCGTTGCAAGTGCCGTTTCTCCCGTCTGACTCCATCCATCTTTGACTCGAAAAATGCCATTATATGCGCTTGGCCAGCGCCATTGATCCAGCTGCCAAGTCACACGCTCTTAGCCAGCCTACTCTTGCCCTCTCTGTCAATACAACCTGAAGGACTGGACTCCACGGCGTCCTTGGCAGGTCTGTAGGAGCAATATCCATCTTCGTAGTGTAAACCCGAAGACCAGTCATTATCGTCGAGCATCTCTCGTAAATACCGCCCTTCGCCTTCTTTGAATCATTCCGGAACCTATTCTCCATCTTGCCCGCAGCGTCGATCGGTCGGAATCATACCCTCTTTGTCTTGCAGACTACCTCACATTCTCTAGCCATGCATGCGCTTCTGCCTATTCTCCTCTCAGGGGCGGCTATGGCCGCCACTATAAACGCTCCCCTGAGGAAGCGCGCCGAGTGTGGGCCCGGAATCGGGTCCTGCGATCCGGGACAGTGTTGCTCAGAAGCCGGCTGGTGTGGAACGACGGCAGATTATTGCGGCGGCTCGCAATGCCAACTCGAATACAGCGACTCTTGCGATACCTTGTAAGTCAACGACCATCGGAGTCCTCATCATGCCGCACGTTGCTAACTAAGCCTCGACAGTTTTCCGCCACCTGGTGCTAGCACGGAGAGTATCGCGCGGCCCCTCGTGGGCTCCGTGCCTTATGGTGTGTTCATCTGCCTATGCATCGTGGGACGGACCTAACTTGCATATCCGTCTAGGCTCAATTATCACCACTTGTGCCAACCCAGGAACCTTGGCATTGACCTATGATGATGGCCCTTACATCTACACCTCCAACCTACTCGACATCCTCGAGGCCCAGAACGTCACCGCCACCTTCTTTGTCGCCGGCAACAACATTGGCAAGAACCGCATGGACAACCCCGATACCCCTTGGCCGGCCGTAATGCAAAGAATCTATGCCGCCGGTCACCACATTGCAAGCCATACCTGGACCCACCGCAACTTGAACGAGGTCAATAGCACCATCCAAAGAACCGAAATGATCTACAATGAGATGGCATTCCGAAACCTGTTCGGCTGGATTCCCACTTACATGCGCCCGCCGTTCCTTGAATGCGACGCCGGGTCAGGATGCCAGAACCTGCTCAAGACGCTCGGTTACCACATCATCAACGTTAATATCGACACCAAGGACTACATGTATGATTCGCCCGAAGAGATCCAGACCGCCAAGGACCGCTTCTCCAATGGTGTCTCAACAAATGCGGCAGCAAACAAGTACATCGAGCTGTCCCATGATGTCCACTATCAGACCGTGGTCAACTTGACCCAGTTCATGATTGACACTGCCAAGGCGCGTGGTTATCGCCTTGTAACCGTAGGAGAGTGCCTCAATGATCCCAGAGAGAATTGGTACCGGTCTGCGGGTGGCGCTATTAGCTCCGGCGTCGCAGTTGGCACGACCAGAACGACGACGACAACCTCGGTGCCCACTTCCGTGGCATCGACGCCTGTCTCGACGCCGCAGACCAGAGCCACGTCTAGCACAGCATCTACTAGCATCGCAACTCGCACATCGTCGTCAAGTGCCCCTGCTTCGACAAACGTATCACCGGACCAGACCTGTGGTGGCACCGGTGGTTACACGTGCCTCAACTCAGTGTTCGGCAACTGCTGCTCCTACTATGGATTCTGGTAAGTCTCTGGACGCCTTGGACGCCATGAATGATACGGCTGACAACTTCCCCTTAACACAGCGGCTCAAGCCTTACATACTGCGGAACGGGCTGCCAATCAGGCTTTGGATCTTGCTCCCCCCAGTCTTCGGCTGTGGCCGAATCCTCCAATGGCCTCTGCGGGACCCAATGGAATGCCTCTTGCAAGAACTACGGCACGAAGACGTGCTGTTCTCAATATGGTTACTGGTATGTTTTTACACTTCTTCTTTCCGTTGAAGGTTGCCTTCGGGCCTGGTCCATCCGCAACAATTATTCGCAATAAGTCGACATGCTGATGAGAATATTACAGTGGCAATTCTGCGACGCACTGCGGAACAGGCTGCCAGTCGCTTTTCGGGACATGCAATTGATCGGGCTGTGTTGTTTAGTGCAGCATATATTGCCAGCCTGCATCGAACCTTGAGGCTGGCCACCATACTCGCACAGCATGGCCGATCCTCGGGGACCTCCCCCTCCAGCCCGGGGGAGTCCCCGTACAGATCATTTTTCTTTAATATATCGCGCAGAAGATGACAGCGAACATGAGGGGCAAACTTTGCAAACCTTGATTCACATATTTTTGTTTTTTTCGGTCGGTCGGGCTATGGAACCGGTAGAGTCGACTGTCGCGCAGTCTATCGAGAAACGCCAAGACTGTCGGCGCGGACGCACTACTACCTAGCTACCAGCTACCACCTACCTTTACGATCTCTACGGCCGAGAAGCTGGGATACAGCTGGGGGATGTTGAATCATATGCATTGCAGCAGAAGCGTTGGAATACAGTAAGAACGCATTGGCATGTGGACGCAGAGAGGGCTTGGAAGTTGGGGGAGGCAGATAGTTTAATGTTAACACCTAATCGAGCAGGCGAGAGGGCATGTCTCGAACTACATCGTGCGTTTGCGACATCTCAACGGCCAGTGTCGTGCTTTTTTTTTTTTTTTTTTTTTTTTGCAATTTGAATGGTTTCTCCGGATGATGCATGTCTTGAAAAGCTACTACAACGGTTTTCTTTGTGTTCACCTTTCCATATACGAGAAGCCTCCGGACGAGACACCATGTCATGTGTAGCATCGAAGAGACGCACGCAATTATCGTGGTCAAGTCAGCTGAAACTACCAGGCATGGCGACACTTCACTTGGACATGTGGCAGCAAGAACGGGGAAACATGTCCCGAATGCCGGAGAAAAGACCATTCACAACCTTCAAAAAAAAGTCTGCTGCACTAACTACTACGACGTATGACGAGCTTGGCCGAGCCCTCGGGCGATGGGTTCGGGAATACCATGTGGTGGGACCGGCTCTTCAAGGGTACGGTCAACTAGAGAAATGAACTGAGAACCTGATTAGATGTCAGTCAAACCCCCCTAGCTCACCCGCGCGGCACCCGTCTCCGAGCTGCCAAGGGGAGCAATAACTCCCAAGACTTTACCCGAGCTTACGTGGGGAGAAGAGATGAAGGCGAAAAAGACGCAGGTAAGAAAGTAACTTGAACTTAAATGTTCTAGGTGCCATGAAGCTTAGCCCACTTGTCGACGAGGTGATTGCTCGAACAGGACTGGAAGACTTGGTGCGGGACGGGATGTAAGCTGCGAGGGTAGGGAAGCCATCGACAGCTTACCGGCTTGAATCTTTACCCGTCTATGAATGAGTTGCTGAATCGAAGTAGGTTGGAAGCATCTACTCAATGACTGATGCGTGTGTCTTCCAAACCTCACCAGCCACACACGTAGAGAACGTAGTGAGGCCTAGCCATCATTCTGACGCGTGCTTCATCGCCCAGCCTGACGGGTCGTCAAGTCCAAGCGAGTCCTTCATCTCAGCTCCGCTGCAATGCACTTATTTTGGTGTTCGGGTCACCTAGAAAACAGCGTGATCCGCGCGAATCTGTCATTCGATGTTTGGACGAAGTGGGCCTAAGATGATGATGCGCGGCCGGAGCTAAACAGGCCTCGAAGGAGACGACGAGGGGTGACCGGGGGCGAAAGATTGAGAGGGGGGAGACGGTATCGTAGCATTTCGTGGGGGAAATCGATAGTGCCCTCCTGCAGCATGTGTTCACCCAGTGATATCCAAGGTCGGGCATTACTGAGGCAAATTTTTGATTGTATCCGTAGAGAAGCCAAGGAGATGGGCATGGCCGCCAGGTCCCGTATGGGTGAGGTATGGGTGCATACACGACAGCCATTTGTGTTGCCCCGTATCATTGTAAGGGCTTAGTTCTGGTGTGAGGATCATGCCCATCCTTTGCGATGTCATTCGTGCTCATGGATCACTACCTGGTAGGTGTGTATGTGTGTGTGTGTGTGTGTGTGTCTGTGAGCGTGTGTTGCGCCTGTTCTCTTCGTCCTGCCCTGCCGGCCTCCCTCCCTCCCTAGCGCTGTTTCTCACCTTATTTTACCTCGGAAACCAACTTCCCCATATTTCTCCCGTACATTTATCCCCTGGTCAGATTTTAGCAACTTCACCCTAGTTCCCCGAAGTGCCAAGAGCGCGTAACCTTGGAAAACAAGGAAGCGGCTACTGCAGGTCCTGGGATGCCGCGTGCTTAGCGCCGTGTTCAACTCTCACCGGGGGGCCTGAAGTGGGGCCGCTTCCGCCGCTGATGAACCCACTCAAGCCTCCCGGGGTACCGACCACGCAATATCGGGGTAAACGGTTATATGCATAATAGAATATTCTATCCGTATCCACCGGTAATTACTCCGGTTAATGGAGGGGGAGTGTGCATCTTTCCCCCTTCCCGTCCCCCCCCCCCCCGTTTCCACCGCCGTCAACCTCACCCTCTCACAACCTTCTCGACAACGACAACCACACACGGCCACACACACCCCTCCGCCTCCCCGTCTCCCTTGGGTTCTTTCCCTCACCCACCACCTGAATAGAAATCCGCATCGTAACGACATGCAAGCCGCTTCCGCATCGCTAGGCGCCCCGCTTTCCATCTCCCACACTCTCACGATCCGCCTCAACCCCATCGTCCAGTCACACCCTGGGGGGGGGGGGCTGGGAATCACGTACCGGCCATTCGCAACCTCAACCACGGACCATGGCGCATCCACACGATGGTGTGATGTTGCATCAACGCCACGCTTTCTTCTTGCGCCGCTGGCTCGCCGCCAGATTTGCCATAGTGCCTGGCCACCACTACACGCACACGCACGTACGCACGCACCACGCAAATCCCATGAGGTTTTGGGGCCTCTTGGTACCGTCAAACCTATGCCCAGACGGCTGGCAGCAGAGTTCTCGATAGCGAGTGTCCTGATTCTATCACCCAGGGTCTTGAACAAAGCAAAGAAGCAAGCGTTCTCAGCTGGTCTTTCCCAAAACAGACACGATGATGGACAGAAAGGGACATGAACGAAAAGAAGGGTGCTCTTGGCCGTGTTTGGTCCTCGTCTGCTTCAACCTCGATTTTGTTTTTTCCTCTGGGCTGGGCCGGTTGTGCCCGTGCGACTCTCAGACAAACCGTTAATGACCCAGATATTGCAGATGGCAGGCAGGCAGGCTTGGAGGTTGAGCCAAGGTTGTCGAGCTGAGTCAAACACCAGCCATTCGTCCCGTCTTTCCAGTCATCCGAAGTCCCTGACAGACGTAGGGAACCACAGGCGCAGCATTGGCTCGATCCCACAGACATTAGGCTGCTTTGCTCTTCTGCGTCCAATGGGTGCATGGCCACTTTGTCCACTAGGAGTTGTCGGTCAGCGTCCGCGTATGGAGGAAATGAGACTTTGCTCACGCACTCACGCAAACTCACGATTTGTGTGCCTGACTGAAGGCGGTGGCCCTGTTCGGCGTCCTTCACTGGGTGCCCAGTATTCAAGCTTACTTGTGTGTGGAGGCATCCATATGCAAGGACAGGCACTGTACAACTCTCCTGCCCACTCGTGCAGCCCGCGAATCCATAAACACGGGCTTGGCACGCCGGGGTTGACCTGACTTGATTCGATTTACAGCTCACTGCTGCAGCAACCATGAGATGTTGACCTGGCCTTCTCGCCTCTTCAAATCCTTCCCTACAGCTCCTCTCTGCAAAGGGAAAGAGTGCGATAGGTAGAAGGATGTCGTCTGAATGGAGACGATGCTGGCCCCCAGCGAGCCGAGCAAAGTCCAGCCCAACCCAGCCAGCGTTCTGCATCTGCGGCTCTTCTCTTCTGCTTCCCTCCCCTCCTCTCGCCGCTCCGTGCTAGTGGTTACTCGGAGCGAGGATCAGCCGCGAACACTACCGGAAGAGATTCGTTTGGTTCGGTCTCTATGGTCCCCTCTTTCAACCCGAGCCCAAAATATCTCTCGCAGCTGCACGTTGCAACTCGCACTCTCAAGCAGCGGTGTCCTGAAGTTGAAACTGACGTGTATATTGGACAGGGGTCAACGGAGCATCACCGCGCTAAGTTGAGGGCCGATCACCACCATCGACCACCAACCCCGGTCAACGTCGCCGTTGCCCATGTCTTGCTTAGCGAGCGGCTCCCGCCTTGTGGTGTAGCACTGACCATGCGTACTTTGCTGCGCCATCTCTGAGCGGCTCTCTCCTTTCGTGTGTGCTTGCGGGCTGTATTTCTTTTTGTTCCGAAGGTGGATGGATGTTGCTGTTTTCTGCCATTTCCACGCCATGCCACATGTTGTCGTTGAACGCCACAGCTCTCCTCGGACGAAGCCGATGCCATTTCGGGTGTTGGGATTCTCTGCTTGGGCGAATTGGTTCACACAACATCACTTGATGCATATCGTTGACCTTTTGATTTGAATCCCAATCCGTATTCTGTCGATCATGGCGTTCTCGGATTCAGGCGTACCTGCTGAACATCAAGAAATGAGCGGCAACACCAGCAGCACACAGTCACAGAGGAGCTGGAAAGCCCTATGTCAAGTGGCCGGCGTCAACCTCGGGGGCGTGTAAACGACCGTCGACCAGGCATACCGCTGTCTGTTCGTTCACGGTCCGTCCACCTGCAGCCGCCGACGTGTGCTGCTGAACCTTTTTCGAGAACTTGGGCATGGTTGTCTCATCTCCACCACCAACCACACACACGTTTTGCAGCAACGGGACATCCCCTTGCTGCCTTGCTCCCCTTGCAACATTTCTCTTCGTGATGGCACCAAAATGGCGTTTGATGTACCCCTGTGGCCGGTCGAGTGGGCAATCTTCGAACTTGGTCCGAGTACAGTATTCTTTGCTTGCTCAGCTGACGCTAGAAGTCATGTTGCTGTCGCCATGCCAGCTGGATGTATGAATGTATGAATGTACGAATGTCGTTCGGCCAAGCCCAGGAAACTGCAACCAGTCAATAGTCCGTATTTGCGAGACATGATCGCACGTCGTTTCCGCCAGAAAGCAAGTCCAGTCAGTTGACGGGCAGCATGGCGGTCCATGCCTTACCCCGGCCGAGCTGCCGCCACTCTATCCGAGCCTGAGAGAGACCTTTGATTCCGACCCGGACAGCTGGTCGGATCAACCGCCTCGTGAGGCTAGCCCCGAATGTCGAGTCCAGGTCCGTCGTGCTGATGTTACCCTCTTTTACCCCATGCCGGCCCTCTTTTTTCCCTTTTATCGTCTTCTCTCGCAGGAATAAAGATTCATCCTCCACTTCTCACTTTTCACTCTCTTTCCTCCCCATCGGTAGGAAACTTGCTCTGTTGCCTCCGGCAGTCATCACATTCGTTTTGTTGTTGGCCCGACTCCCTCCAGGATCTTGATCAGATCCCTGACCTCCACCATTAAACATCCAGTCTCTCGCTCCTCATTGTGTGCGCTTGATACTCCTTCTCTTGTCGTTGTCGAGGTCTTTGGTTGAAATCTTTCAACCCTCATTTCCAATTCACAGTCTCAAGCCAGTCAACATGGCTCACCGTCCCGCACCACCACCTCCTCCCATGGCGGAGAGCAGCCGCCCTCCCCTGTCTCCTTTCTCAGGAGCTACAACACCGGCTCGTAGCCAGCGAAGCCTTTCCATTCCGAGGCCACTTGGATCTCGAATCCAGTCACAAGGCTCTGTAAGTCGAGATATGTCTCTGTTCTGAAAAGAGTTTCATGGTGCTGACTAGATAGTCTGTCGTTGGCTTCACCACAGAAGACCTCCCCTTCGGCGTCCGCACACCCGGTTCCTTCGGTCATCGCTCATGGCAGTCTCGCGGCGGCGAGTCTGCTGCCTCCTTCGTATCCTCCGTACAGACTGAAGAGGCAAAGCTGAGATGGGACTCGGACTCGGAGCTGAAGCTTGTGTCCAAGTCCCTCTTGCGGTTCCAGAAATGGTGCTTGCTCATCGGTCTGCTCTGCATCAATGCCGCCCTCATCTACGTGTCTTTCACGTACCACGTCGCTCACTACTTCTTCATGGTGCTTCTTAGCTCCAACACCGTCCTCCAGTTCATCATGATCGTCTTCATTCTCGGCCACTTCATCTTCAAGGGCATCTTCTTCTGCTTCCGCCACAAAGAGAAGGTGCCAGAGACCCCTGAGAGAATGGTCATGCTTCTGCCCTGCTACAACGAGACGCTCCAGGAGCTTACTCGATCTCTTGACTCCTTGGTTGCGCAGAAGAACATTGACGAGCACCCACGCATGATCTTCATTGTCGTCGATGGCAACGTCAAGGGCGCTGGTATGGAGAAGACCACGCAGGAGTACCTCCTCGAGGATATCCTTGAGCCCGGCCCCACGCGCTTCTTCGAGAACGGCTACCGTGCCCGAGACGGTCTTTTTATGCCAACCAAGATCCAGACTGGATTCTACAAGGGCATTCCGTATGTCTTCGTTGGTAAGCGTTACAACCAGGGCAAGCGCGACAGCTTGTGCTTCGCTCGTTCATTCTTGTACCACTTCCACAAGCGCTCCACCAACATCATGACCATGTTCAGCAACGAACTGTTTGAGCACCTCGGCAACGCCTTCGTCTCTCAGGGCCTCGAGAATGTCGAATACCTCGTTGGTATGGATGCCGACACTGTGTTTGACGAAATGTGTATCTGGGAGATGTTGAGGGAGATCCGCAAGAACCCCAAGCTCGTCGGCGTCTGCGGCCACGTCTGTGTGGACTACGATGGCAAGAACTGGGGTCTCTGGTCGCTGTACCAGTCGGTCGAGTACTCCCAGACACAAGGTCTCCGTCGCATGTTCCAATCCCGCATCACCGGCAAGGTCAACTGTCTTCCCGGTTGCTGTCAGCTGATCAAGATTGACGAAGCCACTTTCGGCGACGAGGTCCTCCGCCAGCGATTCGGATACTGCCCCAAGCCCAACGATCTTATGACGCAGCACATCATGGGCAACTACTCCGAGGACTCAATCCACGCCAGCATCATCTTCTCGCTCTTCCCTCATCGCCAAACCGCCCAGGCTCTGCGCGCCAAGGCCTTCACCATTGTGCCGCAAGACTGGAAGGTCTTCCTGTCTCAACGCAAGCGTTGGGCTCTCGGTTCAATCTCCAACGAGTTTGTCATGATCTTCCGCCCCGGTATCATCCCCATCGAGCGTCTTCAGTCCATCATTGCCGTCATGACCTGGTTCATCACTCCCTTCATCATGGCTGCCGTCATCGCTTTGATCATCATTCTCTGCCGTCGCGGTGATGAGTTGGTGAGAGATCCAGTCTTCATGTCGCTGTTCGCCCTGCTCTTGTTCCGATACGTAAGTCTCCCCATCAGATCTTTCGCTTACCTTATCCGAAGGATCCCCTTCAATTTTTGAGACATATTCTGACTGAGTGGTTTCACAGATTTACTCCTTCTGCATCGGTTTCTGGCTGCCAAGAAACTGGCTCGAGCGCATGCAGTACTTTGTGGGCTACTTTTTCCACTTGTGCACGTCGCCCTTCCTCAACATGATCATCCTGGGATACTCCCTCGTGTACTCGGATGACTTCAAATGGGGCAAGACCCGCGAGGTCATCAAGGGAGGCGACGACGAGAAGATGGACGCTGAGGGCGGTCGCGGCACTCTTTAAGAGCCTTGCCTCACTCACCCAGGTTACTGGATGCGCGTTGGCACTAAGGTTGTCACTATTGCCTGGCATCGCGGCAACCCGCACACCAAGACCTAATCGGGCATCTCTCAGCTGACTACTTGTGCTTTCTTCTTCTCTTCACACACTTTTCTTACTGTTGAATCATTCATGTGGCGTTTTAACCTTGCTTGAGGCTGAAAAATATGGGAACATTAGACTCGTCCAAGTCAGACAAATGGGAAAGCGTGAGAATATGGGACCATGATTGGAGGGAAACCGGAGAAAAAAGTCGATATCGCATATCATATCTACATAGCATCTCGCTCTTTTGGGGGAAAAAGGACACACGATTGAGGCGGGCTGAAGATTGGGGGAAGCGAGGGAATTGGTTCACTTCATCTTTGCACACACGCGCAGCACACACGGTACCGCCACCATCATCATCACATACCTCGAAAAGAGCTGGAAAGTTCGTACATATTGGGGACCTTATTGTACAGATGGCACGGGTGGAGGAAGAGAGGGGATGGTGATGATGAAGGGCTGAGCTCTGGCCGGACCTTGATCGTTTCGATTCTTCACAACTCGCTATACTTTTCATCGCTGGGGGGATTCTCTGGGCGACCATTGTGTTTGGTCAAGTTTTTATTTCTTTATTCTTAATGTAATGTTTAGGTCTGGTGGCTACATGGAATGACTTATGAAGCATAGATACTTACCTTTCCCATGAGTATCCAGAATAACAATTGAACATCTGAAATATGGCTTGACTCTTCGCTCATCGCGTGCATCTCAATTGATCGACAATTGAGTGAGTTCAATAGTGTATCTCTCCGATGATGAGCTGAATCGAACTTTGGCCAGCGCAGACCCTTGTGGCTTGCCATGTGTCAAGAGGCAGATGGCAAATCTCTGGTCAATAATGCGCGCTAAGGCATTTGGGCTAGAATCACGTCAACTACAGCGAATTGAGTTCAAGATTGATCGCAGTGGGTAATGTGGCGTTGATGTCTGCCAGCTGAAGACGGCGTCAAGAGTGTAGGTAATTGAGGTGATCTGTGAGAGAATCAACATTTGCCGTCGCGATTGAGCGTTTGGTGTCCGCAAACTTTCACTGGCGTTGATAATTTTCAATCATTTTCAGTGATGGACCCACCTCCATGAGATGAACTCCATGAGCTCTGAAAGCCACTACAGTTCATCTCATGAGTTTCGGGGTGAGACATCAACATTAGACGAGGATGAGCCCCTCCATCCTCCGTCTTTCCGTCGCTCTGCCCTTACACAATTCTCTCTGGACCGTGCTCCTCAGGCCCAAACTCCGGGGCTTGCGATGTCCGTATTGTTAGCACCAAACCCCGTGTCCGGGCCGCTGTGGGGGCCTCTTGGAGTAGTGCTGGCGCCGCCCAAGATCGAGTTAAGTACGGGACCTAGCAGCAACTAGTGTTTTGGCCTGGTGTCGAGGTAGCCATGAACATCCCCGGCACACATGCTCCTAGGCAGTCCCAGCCAAGGCGGGCGTGGGCATTTGTGTTCCGATGCAAGGTAGTAGCAGATCATAGAAGATCGTGAGGGCTTCGTGCCCACGATTCTAGCTTGTTATAAGCGCCGGCCTTAGAATACTGGGACTATGCCCGAGCGGTACTCCGCCATCCGAGCCCGGCATCAATCAAGAGTGACTCGTGTCCGGGGAGGCGCCGGAGGCGATGTTCGTCCGCCTTTCAGCAAGTTTCATTGTCGCCTCTGAGTCAGCAACGCTTTTCTTTCGCGGGGAGCGATCGTTGATCTGAGTCGAGACATGGAACGACAACGGCATTGTCTTAGATAATCGCTCATTCAAACCTTGCCTTTTCATCACACCGATCACAGTGGATCTAGGTAAGCTAGGATGCCTGGTTGCTAGGTATACCTAGACACAAGTTGACAAGGCCATGGGCAGTCCACCTGGGGAAGTGATCCGGACCGCAACCCATCTCTCCCACAACACCCGTAGAATGCCCCGAAATGTCGATCTTACTCCCCTCATAATATGTACTGTCCACAAGAGACCCCGTTCAATAGAGTGCAACCTTGACTCAGGCTATTTGGGTGAAGTCTGGAACGAAGAGGCCGTGTAAACATCACACGCACGTAGGCCAACCAACCTTGCTCCTGCCCGGACCCCACCAACTGGCATAAATCCTTGGGAAGATTTTCAAGATTTTCCACTCAACCGCAGATATTAATTTGCGTATTATCCCGAGGGGTTTCGTCAAAGTCTTACAAATAGTCGAGCTTACTGCATTTGTAGAGAACAGCGAGCTTCTGGCAATTACTTACTCTGCGGAAAAGCCTGAGACTCACCCGTTTTACCCCTCATCTCATTTGGATCGCATCGTATTCCAACCACCAGACGCCCGATGAACGGTAGGATGTCTTGGTCGTTCCTGACAAGGCATAGGAATGTCTTGGACAAAGTAGTTGGCGTACCACAACTGTCAAGGCCCGACATGGCTTCATAAATAAGGGCTAGACAGAGGGGAAGGCATGGGATAACCCTTGAATACTTGCCACTTCAACGGGTCAACCTCTTTCCATGCCACCGTCGTCAGTGGCATCGCATCCACCTCAACTTTCTTGGCATCAGCCTCAAGGTCGAATCCGAAGACTGGCGGGTGAGCGGCAGTAGGTAATAGCTGGGAACAACCGGACTTTGCAAGGTAACACAAACTTTTTTCCCTCCTTCACGTAAGCATGTGCGATCCTGGTACCTTTTTTACCAAATTTTGTGCGAGTACGACCCGATGCGGCGAGTTGCGAGCCAGAGCTGCACGAAGCTTCAGCTGTGCCGTGATGCAGCATTGCGTCGTGCGTGGTGTGTGTGCAGAATTGGGCGAAGCGAGGAATCCTTCTGAGAGAGTTGAGAGAACGGGGAGGGGGAACATCCTACCCAACACCCAATCCGACGGACAGGTACCGAGCCCGGAAGTCAAGCTGGTTATTATCCGTTGTCAACAGTGCCATGCTGGGATTTGTGAACCGTGGAAAACTTGACAAAATGTCAGGCCTTTCCCTTTTACCTTTCCCTTCTTGGGACCGTGGGACCTTTGCTGTGCCCGGTGGTGACGGGGAAGACGGAGGCTGGAGAAGTGGGAAAAGAGTTGGTGAAACAGGAACATGGTTGGTTGTCTCTAAAGTCTGGGCAACCCCGTGTCTGCACGAAACTGGAGCAGCCAACTGCCTAAAAGGCGCCTCACTGACGGCCGATGTTGCTGTCAACCCGGCATCGGATCCTCTACCGACATGAAGGGCACTGAGTTGGGAGTTTTGGGAAGCATCATGGCTGGGGTGTCGTGAGTGTTTGCCAGTCTTTGTTTGCCTGCCACCGTAAGAGTCACATCAGAGCTAGATCAGACCTGATACGCACAGGAGGCAATCGTCACGACCAAGGCCACGCTTATGGTGATGGTGGACGGACGGCCAAGAAAAGCCAAAAGAAGACAAGAAAGCTTCAAGAACGGGAAGAGGGTGTCGAGAGAGCTCAACCCAGAATGCTTGCCTCACCAGACCCCTGGCTGCTGTCATCGACCGTCGCCCGGCAGAGATGCTCTCAAAGCACCATCGCTCCCGTCCCCAGTACCGGGGCTCATTTTGGTTCCCAAGTTCAGGGCTGCCGGACGTCCTGAAGAGGGGGGAAATGTCACCGTAGGCTTACAACTTGGACTCGCAAGTTGCAACTTACACCACAGAGGACAATGAGAGCCAGACGCACACCGAAGTCTTGCCAAGCCAATAATCCGGCAGGCCAGGGGCGCCTGTGGGACGTGGCAGATGCTGAGAGCGCGTTGCTTTGACTTCTGCTTACCTTTGTGCCTTTGCACCTTTTGGTAGACCTTGGCTCACCGCGGGGTAATCTGCATCTAGCGAGGCTCAACATCATAAAGGGGTACTGGGGGTGTTCTACTCGATTATCACATGAGATGCCTGGTGAATATTCACTTTCTCTTAATGGAGAAGTGAACACCCCCCTCGGTCTTGTTCCACTTTTCCTCTTTCTGCCCCGCCTGCCGCCCCCGGTTCACTGCACTCTCACACTCATCCACCTCTCATCCACTTTTATCCTCTCATCCGCTCATCCCCTTTCTCCCCCCTCGCGTCGCGCGTATGACTTCTCCTCACCCCTCTGAAGTCTGTCCTCTGTTGCTGGCTGGTTCCTTATTACCTCTCAAGTAAGGTACTAACCAGCTGCAGAAATGTGACTGCATCTCATCATCCACAGTTCATCCTGCCCATCTCACCTACATGAGAAAATGCGGGAGACTTCGTGACGGAGCCTTCTCCATCTAACAGCCACGAACCAACGATTCCATGCGTCAGTTGCACAGGCAATAAGACGATGGACCCAGCGAAGGATTCAGCAACTGGAGAAATTATCATGCCATTGTCTATCGCAACGTTGGTTACTCGGCCGATCTGCAAGGCAAGGCTGGGCAAGCAAAGGCACGTTGCAGTGTTCGTATGAGCGGGGATGAAAGTCTTTACACTTCGTTTTCTCATATTGTCCTATCCTTTATTTGCTTTTCGCTCTCCAACGGTTCGTACATGCTGTTCAGTACCCCACAACAGCTGACCTTGACCGGCCTCGGCGTTCATAACGGCTGACCTCCGGCATCGTCTTGTACCTAGAACAACTCTTCTTTGTACACCACTTCGTCAGTAAGGCACGCAATAGCACCATGTATTATTCCAATATTGTCAGCGCTGGGCTCTCTCAACCCATCATACAGCCTCATGAACCCGAGATGCCAAGTCGTTAGAACATACACCAGGTTGCCAACGTGGTCGAAAACAGAAGGCGAGGACAGCCAAGTGGCGCTCTGGTAGACCTTCCATTTAAAAGATGAATAGCAAAGCACCTCGCCGCCGTCGGGGCGAATGCCCATGGTTCGGGATTCTGATTCAGTCATCTGCACTTGAACCGTCTCCATATGTGCTCTCGGCGCAGCAATATCGTTGCTTTTCCCTCACAAATGGACCTCTCCCAGCTCGTATTAGTCGGTACAAGCAAGCAGGTGACTAAAATAGCCCCGTGTGCCGGTAGAGAGTGCCATGAACCAAGAAGTGGCTCGCTGCAAGGCACCCTTGCGCCTGGTTAGCTATCCCACACGCGCCTGTCTGGACAATACCGGCACCACGCGCGAAATATCAGCCGGCCAGTATGTCTCTGAGCTGTTGACTGCCCGGGCTGATCTGCCCTGTTTAATTTGCTCTCCTTGGAGCTGGGCGGCCATCTACTGGCCCAGCTTGCAGCAGCCGATCACTCAAACGCCAGGCCAAGGTTGCATTTTCAGCCCATAGCCAGGCTGCTTATTGCTTAGTCTACTTTTCCGAAGACACATCTGCTTCCGTGTTATATAACAATGGCCGGCCCCGAGCCGTCTAGTCCGCTTTGCTATTCTTCCGGACCACGGTGTAATTAAGTTGTCAAGTGCAGTGCTGCATCGTGTACACTGTCCCAATTTGGCCCGGCTTCTTCTTTATTGAACTCTGCCCTGCCAGTTCCATTCGCTAAGCGCTACTTTCTTTTTGCCTTAACCTTCGGGGAAGCTCATTCGTTACCACACAACTTCTCGACTGGCATTTGGCCCCTCAATCAGTATGCATTTCACCGCTCTCGCTTTTGCCGCCAGCTTAGGCTTGGCTGCTGCCCACGGTGCCCATGGCGGCGATGAGTTGCCCGTGCCAAATATCTTGGCTGGAAGACGGGCTTTGCAAGATTTCACTGCAGCTCGCCGGACAGTTGAGCGTCGCGCTGCCCGTGTTGGGCCCGTACCCGAAGCCTCAG